CCCCTGAAGGAGATCCTAGGGCTCAGCCCCTCCCTCTTCAGCTCCCCAGGGAAACTGCTGCCCGAACAGATCCTGGAGGACAGCAATGAGTACCTGACCCAAGGTGAGCACCCAGGGCTGGACCTGAGGTTTGGTTCACTGAGAAACAAAAAACCCAAGTGTGTAGCCCTTTGCTGGGCAGCACTGGATAACCGGGAGTGAATCCTCCCAGGACAAATCCCATCCCATCCCTGGAGCCCACAGCCTGGTGAGGAGTTGCTCCAGGCCAGCCTGGTGCAGGGGAGGCTCCGGGACCCTATGGTAGGGACCTACTCACTCTGCCCAGGCTGGAGGTCCCCCACAGGAGCTGGACTGTGAGCTGGACTTGGACTTGGGCAGAAGAGCCCAAAGCTCACAGCCAGAGAAGGGCCCTCCAGCTATGAGGACAGCAGGACAGCGGCCTGGTGCCCCGAGAGAGGCGCTTCTGTCCCAGCCACCCTTCTGGTCTCCCTCTCTGTCCCTGACAGCTCTCTTTGAGGAAATACTGTTAGATCCTGCATCTTCACCTTCTGCCTGCATCTTCGAGGATCCACAGAAGGTAGGTGTCTGCCCACACACCCGTCCACACACCCGTCCATCCTTCTTCCCACCAGTTTGATTCACTCATCCGTCCTCTTGACCTTTCAGTCACCCCCAACCCCTCAACTCAGCTGTCTGTCCATCATGCTTCTCCTGGTCCTTCCAGAGACTCACCCACCCATCTGTGCCCTAACCTACCTGCTGGCCACCAGGCGCCCTGCTCTGTGCTGGGCCCTTGGAATGAACCCCCTGTAAAGAATAAATCTAAAAGCTGCCAGGTGCCCAGAAAAGACCCCACATAATCTTATGACTGCTCTATGGGGTAGGCTCTCTTGTGACACCATTTAACCAATGAGGAAACTGAAAACAGCAAGTGACCTCTGGGATCCTCGGTGTGAAAGAGCCTCCCTCCCAGGCCCCAGAGCTGACCTCCGGAGCACCGTCTGCTCCAGCAGCTCAACCTCCGACTGACAAGAGGAGCAGCCCGGCTCTGGTCCCCAAATGGTTCTCCCTCCATGTGTGGGAAGGTGGCCGCTGCCTCAACAAGTAGCTGATTTCACCGCAGAAACAGACACCGTTAGCCGAGCTTTTATAAACACTGGCCTGGCCTGGCAGGGGATGTGTGGTGATACCATCGTGGATGAAACACGCTCAGGGGAGTTAAAACTTGCCTAGGGTGTGCCAGCTCCCTCACAGGGGAATTGTGAGGGAGAGCCCCAGAATAGGAGACAGAAGCCCCCAGTCCACCTCTTCCCTGATCCACTGTGGGAACTGGGGAACCTTTGCTTGAACTTCTGAGGTGGTGTCTGGACGAGGCTGTTTTGAACCTGAGCTGTTTCCGATGCTCGTGTGACATCCCAGGAGAGCCGCAAGTGGGGGCCATGAAGGGACACCACTGCCCGCCTCTGTCCATCTCCTCCTATCTTTCTCCTTCATGTCCCAGGACACGCCCCCTGAGGTCCCCAAAGACCCCTCCAACTCCCATGACCTGTGCCAGTCCTCGGTCTCACTGGACCACTGCTACCTCTCGCTGAGTGAAAACAGCAAGGTGCCATCCAGCCCCGGCTCGGAGGACATGGACACAGACTCAGTGTGGAGGCAGCAGGAGGTGAGGGAGACGGACAGCCATCGGCTGGGTCAGTCCAGGTCTCCTGCCCACCCTCACCTACACCCCCCTCACCTCTCTATGCCCCCTGCAGGACACTCAGGGTGACCTCAAGGGCCTGCAGTCCTCCAGCGACGACGGGGACTACACGTGGACCCCTACCCGGCGGGTCTCACCCCTGCCCACAGCCGGGAGGAAGGCCAGGAAGGGCCGGGCCAGCCGGCGTCCCTCCAAGTCCAAGGGGAGCAAGAAAGCCCCTGGCACCCCCCAGATGAAGAAGAAGTGTGTCAACGGCTTCATCATGTTCTGCAGGATGAACCGGAAGCAGTACATCCGGTGGGTGGGCGTCCTCTTCTGCCGTGACAGGGGCCCTGCTTCACTGTCCACCCACTCTCAGGGCTAGGCCGCCCGCTGCTGCTGACACGCTTGCCCGCCACACTCGCCCCCACCTCCCCTGGCCCCGTGCATCATAGGCAGTGAAACTCGCCTCAGACTTATGAAAAAAAGGAAATTAATTGGCAAATATTAACTTATATAATTGATATAACTGATTAATATAATTAATTAATTACTATAATCTGAAAAAGAGGCTCCACCTTCAGCCGTGGCTGGTCCTGGGACTCCCGTGATGCTCTTGGATCTTCACCCCTTTCTGGACTCTCTATTCCTCTCGGCTTCGAGCTCCATCCCTGCTGGGCCAGGTTGGAAGCAGGCTCACCCCTACCTAGGAGCTTCAGGTTCATGTCCTGTCTCCCACCCACCCCAGCAACCCTGTGGGAAGACAGTGCCTCATTTCTAAGATTTCAAGCAGAAGTTCTTGGGGCTGAACTTGATGGCATCTCTCAAGCGCCCAACCCTGAACAATCATTGCCAGCCTGCAGCTGGGGGCGCAGGTGGGGGAGACCCCTCAAGCCTCAGGGGAGAAGAGCTGGTGCTCCTTTCAGAGCGGCAGATGCAGATCCCGGGACACTGGGTGGCCCCTCTCCAGCCACCCTTTAGTTGAGATCCCTCCTCTGTCACCTCTGTTCCAGGGGGTGTGAAAGGGAAGCCTTTCTGGGCAACACGGGAAGATCTGAGTTCTCAGATGGGAAAGTCGAGGCTCTGGGAGGGCCAGGGCCCCTCATGTGGTTGGCCTTTGCCCAAGCCAGGCAGGGCTGCAGGCACCTCCTCACCTCCTCCCCACTCCTGCCACAGAGCCTGCCCTGGGACTGCATCCACGGCCGCCACCAAGGAGCTGGCTCAACTCTGGCGGGTGATGACCCTGCAGGAGCGAAAACCATACTGGTAAGAAACCCCTGCCCAGAAGGTGTGGGTGGTGGACACAAGGGCCCTCCCTGCTCCTCTGAAAATCATCAGAGAGCCTTGAGCTTCGTGATGTTGGAAACAGGGTGGGAGTTTCCTCGGGCGGGAGATCTGGGTGTCACCAAATTTTATGGAAGAGTTGGGGGACAGAAGCAGAAGGGTGCTCTACCCCTGCCTGGAACTTAGAAGGGCAAATAGCTGAATTCTTAATTTGGACCCCCTTGGCCCTAGACTTCCTTTGCACTTTCTGCTTCAGAGTTTCTCAGAGCAGGAAACTGTGTCTTAACTCCCTGTAGCTTGGCCTCCTCCTCTTCTACCCATCTCAACGCCCCCTCCCTCCTGAAACCCCTATTCTCCACCAACTTCAAATTGCTGCCACCTGCCCAGTCCTCAGTTGCCCCTCTCTGGAAAAACAAGCGCATGCACAGATCTTAACAGGTCTCCAAGGAGCCAGCACTTTCCTGGTGGAGCCAATAAAGCCCTGGCCATCCCCAGCCCAGACCCTGGTCACCACTGAGCCCAGAGCACCGGGGGTGGGACGGAGGTGAGACGAAAGAAACCCACCCATCCTGCCACCTCTCCCCCAGCACCAAGGCGCGCAGGTTCAGCCGCCAGCACAACCGGATCGTGAAGCAGGACAGCTCCAGCAGCGAGGACGAGGACTGGGAGACCCCCAAACCCTTCTACCAGCTGTTGGCCGAGAAGGCCCGAGGCTCCCCAGACCCAGTCTCTCCGGAGTCTCCTCAGCAAGAGTGAGGGTGCCGCGCCCTCCCTTGGGCCCTGCTGCTGTTGAAACCAGGAGCCTGTGATGGTTTCCTGGGCCTCACCCCCGCTAGTGCAGGTCCCCCCAGGTTGGCAGGCGGCGTTATTTATTGATCCCTATGCTTTGTGTTTGCCTTGTATGGGGCAGTCTGAACTTCTGCCCCAAGGCTGGCAAGCCTCTCACAGCCCCTTTCTACCCTGGGTGGGCGAATCAGAGAAGCCAGAGAGGTGAAAGGAGGCCCCCTCCCACCCGAATGAAATGCAGGGAGGTGAAGTTTTCCTCTGCCTGTCCAGCCCAGAATCTAATGCTTTCCACCCTGTTCAATCTCACCTCACTTTCCTCCTCCTACCCTATTTATAGATTATTTATTATTTTCAATGAAATAAAACTGTTACTAGCAAGAGACAAGGCCAGCTGCCCTGGGCCCTCTTCCTCAGCTCTGTTCTCCACAGACACCTTCCCAAACAGCTCCTCCAGTGTGACCTCCAGGCCTGTCCCCTCTCAGGGAGCATGGATCACAAAGCCAGAAACTCAAGGTGCGCTGTCTGTCCTTTAGCTTTTCCTTGGGCAAGTTGTTGGAAGGTAACCCACACCCCCGGAGGTTCTAGTTGTCTGTTTATTTTAATGGAAATAAAGGCATAACACATCTAGAAAAATAAAGATTTAGGATACAAACTAGACACAGGGGTCAGGGTTGCCCCGGCAGTCGGGGATCTTTGGTCTGGGGCTGGACAAGGTACCTGGGGTTCTAGTCCAGGAGGTGCTAACCAAGGACCCTGGCCCACACCCCCCACACCTGTGGGCAGGAAGGGCCCAGCTGGGAGGGTCCAGGAGTCTCTGGGCACAGGACTGCCCGTCCTCCACCCTTGGATTCCAAGCAGTTCTGAGAACGCTGGCCCTCAGTGGAGCTATTAATAGTGTTTCAGGAAAAAAAAGTGTTTCAGGGAGTGATAGGGAGAGGGCTGGGGGTGGGGGGAAGGGGGAAATTCAGCCGCTCGGCAGGGCTTTCAGCTCACAGCTAGTACCAGGTCGAGGGGGGGGCAGAGCCCCCGAGTCAGGACCCCCAATTCTCCCCATATAGACCAAGGAGAGGGCTGTAACAGAGGCAGCATCCTGTCCGAGGAGTGGACCCTCCAGGGCACGGAGAGGTTGAGCAGCCGGGGAGGGTGTAGTGTGTGTGGGTAGACGGCAGCCGCTGTGTTTATGAGAGGGTCCCTCCTCCCGGCCTGGATTTCGAGCACCATTGTCAGGGGAGGCCTGGGGGCCGGCGGGTCACAGTTCCAAGGGCTCTTCCACAGGCACTGACTGTAGCTGCGTCAGGACCTTGGTCTCGGCTTCCAGCCCCTCGTCCACCTCGCCCCCCGCGGTGGCCCCCAGGAGCAGCCCCTCGGGGTCAGGGTCTGGCAGCCTCAGCACGGTATGGGGGGCCTGTGTCCCCAGCCCCTTCTCTTCCTCCAGCAGCCCCTCAGTGCCAGCGCTCAGTTCCAGCCCGGCCGGCCAGATGGGCACGGCCGCAGGCGACAGCAGCAGCCCCTCGGGTGGGGGCGCCGGGAAGCCCGGCAGGAGGCCAGAGGAGTCCTGGGAGAAGGGTAGGCTGGGGGCGGCGGTGGCGGCGGGGGGCGGCTGGGGTGGCTGCTGCGCAGGAAGTGCGCCTAAGGCGTGGGCCTCCGGAAGAGCGGGGCTGGTGGCCACTGGGAGGGCTCCTTCAGGCACTGAGATGGCTGTGTCCGGCTTCAGGGGCAGGGCCAGGCTGGGGGCGGGCGGCAGGACCTGGGAGACCAGCATGCTGGTGGGGAAAGTGGCGGTGAGGATGATCTTGCCCTGCTGGACGGCCACACCTGTCACAATGGGGCTGCCAGACACGGGGTTGGCCAGCAGGAAGTTTCCTGTAGGGAGAGGAGGGAGGCCAGGCGCCCAGGTGAGGATGAAGCTGCTGGAGGGCAGGCAGGGGGATTAACCAGAGGCAAAAGGAGCCCCTTCAGGGTCAGAGTAAGGCCAAGTCTTCCTGGCCTGAGCCTCAGGAGGGTCTGGGACCCGCCAGGGAACAACTCCCCTCCCCCCACTGCGGCCCCAGGAAGCCCACCAGCAGCACCCCCCACCCAGCCACCAGAAGGGGTTACCTGGGGTAGTGGCCGAAGGCAGCTGCAGCGCAGTCACGCCCACGCCGGAGTTTATTAGGTGCACGTTGGCAGGGCCTGAGGCACCGGCCACCTTCACTGGGCTGCCTGGCCCAGCTGCCAACAGCTGCAGCGGCCCCACAGCCTGGGGCAGCGTCACCACCTGTGAGGTGGGCACCACCTGGGGCAGGTTCAGCAGTGGGGAGGTGGGGCCCAGGCCGGCAGGGTAGCCAGGGGGCGGAGAAAGTGGCACCACTTGGGGAGCAGCCATGGAAGTCACTGGTCCTGGGGGCAGCGGAAAGGTGGCTGCCGGAGGGGGGCCAGGCACCACTTGGGGCAGAGGCGCGGGGACCTCCTCTCCAGGCGGCCCTGAAGCAGTCACCTGAGCCCCCTTGGTCTCCAGGGCTTCAGGCTGAGCCTCCTCCAGACGAACCTCCCCAGTCTGAGGGTCCAGGACCAGGGAGGTCTTGCCCTCGTTGGCCCCTTGGGAGCTGGGCTGCGGAGCAGGGGCACCCCCGGTGAGCAGCAGGGGGCCCAGGCCGGAGGCCTCGCCCAGTGCAAGGCTGTTGATGATGACGGGGCTCCCATTGAGGAGCACTGCTGGAGAGCTGCCGGCCGCCAGGAAGCTCCCGTTCACCAGGATGGAGGAGGAGGCAGGGCACGGTGCGGGAGGGGCGGCCCCGGCCAGGAATATGGAGCCTGGCGCTGGGCCCTCAGCAGCCACCGGAGCCGCCCCTCTCTCCAGGTCCTCAGGACTGCGGCTGGACTCGTCCTCCGTAGTGGGGTTTCCATCAGACTCGCTGGCCAGAGAGAGGATTTTGAGTGGTGGACTCATGTTGTGTTTCCCCACAGGCCATCCCCATTCCTGCCGAGAGCTGGAGGCAAAGTGCTCAGAGGAAGCACAAGCCGCCCATTGCCTTCCCATGTTCCCCAGCCCCAAATTTTGTGGGCAATTTCAGGGAGTTAATGAAACCTCCTCTCTGAGACCCCAGGGAGGAGTCTTTGCAAGCCCGGTCCTGACACCACTGCCCAAAGGTTCAAGCTGAACGCTGAGGGTTAGAGGGGTCCTCCTCTCCCAACTCCTCAGCTTTAGGGTCCGGGAGGCTGAGCAACCGGGCTGCCCGAAGTCTCCAGAGTCTGCCTGAAAACAGCCGAGGGGCTCTGGAGACAGGAGGGAGTCGCCAGCTCAGTTCCCGGTGCCCAACCCCCCCCCTTCCCCTCCCCCCGGGCGTCGGAGAAGGAGCGAGAGGCCAGAGCGCAGGGTGGGAGGGGAAGGGCTTGGGTTACAAGGAAACCAGAGCTGGGGAAGGTTCACGTTTCACAACAAAGACAGACGACGGACCACGCTGTTTGGGCCCGGGGGGGGGGCGGGAGAAACGAAGAGACAGCCGCGGTCAGGGAGGGACTGGCCGCTAAGGGGCCTAAAGAAGCCCCTACGCCCGGGAGCGAGGACAAAGGCCTCTCCTTTCTCGCAGCCCCTTTTTCTCAATGCCGCCCCCAAGTCTAGCCGCGGGAGCGGATGGGATCTGGGACGGAGCTTGTGGAGTAGAGGGAGGCGGTCTCCCCAGCCTCTGCGAGAGGAGCAGCGGTGTCAGGGTGGAGGGCCGGGCGAGTGCCTAGTTAATCCACGAGGATTCCTCGCGCTCGGCGGGCGCCTGAGGGTGTGAGCGGGGGGGTGTCCGTGGACAACGGGCCTGGGAGAGGGGGGTACGTCCCCGGGAAAGCCAGACTGGCGCCGCCCCGGGCCCCTCACCTCTTGCAAGGCGCGCCGCCGCCGCCGCCGCCCCCGGTCCGGTCGCGCTGTCGTCGGTTCTTGAACCAGTTGCTGACTTGCGTGAGCGAGAGGCCGGTGAGCGTGGCCAGGCGGCGCTTCTCGTCCGGCGTGGGGTAGCGGTTGCCGCGATAGCAGGCCTTCAGCGCGGCGCGGGAGCGCTCCTTGAAGCAATAGACGGTCTCCTCGCCGTCCCAGATGGTCTTGGGCAGCGGGAATTTCTTGCGCAGACGGTACTTGTCCACCGCGCCCAGCGCGCGGCCGCGGGCCCGCTCGGCCTCGTGGTAGCGCGCGCGCAAGTAGAGGTCCTGAAGGAAGGCGTGGTGGGCGGCGGGGAAGGGGCGGCTCTCTAGCAGCCGGTAGAGTTCGGCGTACTCGCCTCGCTGGAAAGCCACCAGGGCCCGAGCGCGCAGCACAGGATCGCTGCCACGTAGGCGCTCGGCCGGGGGCAGTGCGCCCAGGAAGCGGCTCAAGCGGCCGGCGTGGCCCGCCTGTAGCAGCGCCTCACACACGCACGCCACCTGCTCCGGCGAGAAGCGGAGCCCCGTGGGCGGCTCGGCAGCGGCCTCGGGGGGCGACCCGGGAACGCCTGGGGATCCGGGGCCCTCCACTTTCACCGCCGTTTCGCCCGCCCCGGCCCCGGCCGCCGCCGCCGCCTCACCCTCGGCCGCCTGCAAAGTCTGCAGGAGCTGGCGCGCTTCCTCCTCCTCCTCTTCGGTCGCCGCCGCCGCCGCTACCACTGCCTCCCCCCCGGCCGCCGGCCCCGCGCTCGGCTCCGCAGGCAAGGTAGCCATGTTTTGCAACTTTGGGAAGTTCCTCCCTCCTTCTCCTCCTCCCTCGGGCTTTCCCCAGCCCCCTCCCCCGCCCGTCTCCCCTCCCTACCCCACCCCACCCCCTACTTCGTGCTTCCCGATCTTCTCCCGCCGACCCGCGTCTCCCCTCCTCAACACCGATGCCAGGCCCAGCTCTCTACTAGGGTCTCTGTCCCAGTGTCTGTGTGTGTGCCGGTCCCCTCCCCGTCTGTCCGTGATTCTCCCTTTGTTTTCCCTCCGCCTCAGGCCGCGCTTTTTGCGTCCCCCCGCGTGTGCCTCTGGCTCAGGGCCTCAGTTTCCCCATCGGGACAACGGAGAAGGTAACGGGCCGTCCGGGAGGGTTAAGGGCGCGAAGCCACCTCTGCCCCGAGACTAAGCTTCTGCACGCCTCCGTCTCCAGGGTCCTCCGAAAGCCCCCCTCACTCCCCATCTCGGCCCACGCTCCGCCCCTCGGAATTCCCGGCTCCGCAGGGGGGCGGGTCTGGTTGGCAGAAGAGGCGGGGGAAACGGGCTGGAAAGTTTGCAGCAACTTTTCTCGAGCCTAAGTTTCTGGAACGGATGCGCGTGGTCCGCGCAGGCGCAATGGCAGGAGGATGGCTGCACTAGCTGCCAGTCCAGCCCGCCTCTTCCACGCGGTCGAATGGCACAGCTGGGCCACAGCTGGACAGTGGGCGGTGCCTCCGAGGGGCCTGCTCGTCTTCTCCTATTGGCCGGGTGCCTGGGCTACGCCCCCCAGCCCTACCCCCACCCGATTCGTCCGCTTCGCCTCCCGCTAGCTTCCTGCCAGGCCATTGGCCGCCTCCGCTCGCCTTCCGATTGGCCTGCTGAGCAGCCTCTTGCCCTCGACGCAAGCTGCGGACCCCAAGGAATTTCAGAATTTTGGGCAGACGGGAGGGCCTTTTATTCGCGAGGATCGGGGGTGGGGGTCCTAGGTGGGGAAAGACAATAAATATCGAGGAATGTCGGGGTCTCAGTGCATCCAAAACGTGGATTAGGGTGCTGGGGTCCTGGAGCCTGTCAGCGGGTCAGAGGAAAGGTCAATAAATACCCAAACTGCCGAGGCGGACGGAGCCGGCTGGACTCCGAGAGCAGCGCACGTGAGAAGGAGGGCGCGAGAATCCCCGAAAAAGCGGGGCTGTCAAAAACAAAGATTTCCAAGAAAGCAGGCGGAGCTTGCGCTAGACTTTCGCTGCGGAAAGAGAGCCTTCCTGAGGGGGCGGGGCCTCATGCACAAGGAGGATTTGTGGTCTGCGAGCCAATGTGGGGCGGGGGGGGTGCCTGGAGAGTGAGAAACAGATGAGCCCTGGCCCTGCTGCCTTTTCTAGGTCGCAGCTTGCCCATCCACGTCGGGGGCCTCAGCTAGGCAGGCGGAAGAGGTCCGCGATCCTCCCCCCAGCAGCAGCAGCAGCAGCAGCAGCAGCAGCAGCACCCCCCGCTACAAACCTCCCTGGAGCCGCAGCCCCGGCTCCTCCCTCCCCGGCCGCCAGGGGGCGGGCCCGGATCACGGGGCTGAAGCTGGGGCGGAGACCCACGCTTGGAGTGTTGTGAACTGGGAGGAGATGGGAGGGGCTTCTGGGCCCTGCCTCGGTAACCCAACCCTCCAGCAGAGCCCGAGTGTAGGACAGGCTCGGGTTCTAGGGTTCAGGCGGAGAAGGCGGCTCCCCGGCGGGATCAGATTGCGGCGAGATGGCCGGCGCAGGCCACCAACCCAATGCAGCCCAGGGCGGCGGCAACAGCCAGAGCAGCGGCGAACAGGAGCAAGGAACGCGCCTCCGATAGGTCAGGCCTAGGGACCTGCAGGGAGAGGGCGAGGGTCAGCACCCAGCGACACGAGCCTCTGATTGGCTCCCAAGACTTGCCCCGCCTACGCCTAGGAGGTCCACAACCCCCGGCAGCCGCCCCGCCCCCCTCACAGCGCGGGTAGCTCTGGTTGGCCGGCTCGCAAACCTAAGTCTTGTCCGAACTCATTACTGGCTGCTTCTAGAGACCTGTGTTGATTGACTGCCCGAGAATCCTCCCCTCCCCACCGCTGGCCCAGCCCCGCAGAGGCGCTGATAAGCAGAGGCGACTTGGGGTACGTGGAGCTGGGCGGGAGCGCGCGGCGGGCGGGCGTGAGCAGCCGGACGTACCCTGGCAGGGAGCAGCAGGTGGCGGCGGTGCATGGGGCCTGGCCCCACCAGCGGGCATTGGCCCAGAGCCACGGCCGGGGGGCCATCTAGCTGGAGAGAGAAGGGACAGGTGACCCGATCTGAGCCCAGCTCGGCCCGGCCGCCCTCGGCGTGGGGCGAGAGACAGCGAGGGGAGTCGAGGTCGGAGGGGTTATCTAGGGAGACCCCGAATTGGATATCCCAAATGGGGATACGGTGAGAGGCCTAAACCGAGGGAGATCTGGTCGATGTGGGGTGAATGGAGGCTGTCTGACTGCAACCACAGAGAGGGGAGCCCTAAATCTGGACGGGGGTACGTGGTGACAGAGACAGGGGCAGCAAAGAGGGGCAGCAGGCTTGACGCAGGGGAAAAAGAGGGGTCTTACATGGGAAGGTGGATCCGTAGCCCGGGGACTGGGGACCCCCGTGACAGCTGGAAGGAGAAGAGAGAGGCGTAGGGCGCGTGGAGGGACGAGGAGGGTGGTGGCGCGGCGTGCCCCAGCCTGGCCCCTCGCCCTCCCCCAGGTGTGTACACCTGCCGCGGGCCCACCTCCCCCGGGCCTCAGGGAAGGGGGTGGGTGAGGGACTCGCCTACGGCTCCCCCGGCCTGAAGCAACTCCATTCGCTCCTGCAGCTGCCGGACGTGCGCCTCCAGGTCGCGGTTCCGAGCCTGGGCCTCACGGAGTTGACTGTGGAGAGGTGTGGACCGTGAGCCCTTGAGGCTCTGGCGAGAGAGGCTGCTAAAGTTGGTGTCTTCCCCTGGGCCCCGACCCCGACCTGGCGAAGTTCTGGTTGGCCTTATGGATGGCCGCTAGCTCCTGGCTCAGGCTCTGCCGGGTCAGCACCTCCTCCTCCAGGGCCTCCTGGAGCTCCCGCAGCGTCACCTCCGGCTCTGCCACTGCCTCCGGAATGGTCTCCGGAACTGCCGCTTCAACCTGGGCATGGAAACGGGGCTTAGGGCAACCAGAGGCCTGGGGAGCATTCAAGACTTGAGCATAGATTGCAGGACTGGGATCCTCCCTTGACATCTATTCCTGCACCCCCTAGATCTTTCTGGAATCTCCATGGCTCCACAGTGATCCAGACTCCCTCCTTTGGAGGGCTAATGGCAGCCCAGTCCTACTCATCTCCAGCCTTTAATCTGGTCTCCTCCCATCCACCATCCACACCAAAACCAAAGGGCTGTTCCTACAACACTGCCCAACTTGACCAGGTACCTCCTCTGTACAGATTTTCTCCAGCCCCTCAGAGCCCTCAAGAGGAGGCACACCACACTGAAAGGCCCTGTCTAGTGTGCCTCCGCTGGCCTCAGCCACCCCACTACTCATTCTTCACCATCCTTTCTCCTGGAACAGTAACGCCTTACTACCCTCCTTTTACATTTAAGAGCAATCAGCTGGTTCCCACCTCAGAGCCCTTACTCTTAAGGTTCTCTTTGCTTTTCTTCCCATGGGTGGTCCTTCTCCTTCTCCAGGGCTTCTCCTCCCTTGAGAGTCCCCCTCCATGCATTAGAAATTAGAACTCAGTGACCTGTTCTAATTTCTTTGTGAGGGTCACGTCTGACCGAAGTAGCCTTGTCTCTACTTTGTCTTCCATCTCTTTCTGTTGAGGAAGTTCCCAGGAGGTCCAGCACTCCAGGGAACTGTATCCCTGAAGGCCTCCCCTTCTCATCCTTCACTGACTCTCCTCCAGGGACTCACCGTTTCCTCTGGTGGGGGCACTGTGGGTTCCAGGCTGGGCTCAGGCAATGGCTCGGCCTCCAGTTCCATGGGTGTGGAGCCCGGGATCTCATCGTCCCTGGGGAGAGGAGAACGCTGAGGGGTGGGAGGGTGAGCCAAGGCCTCACCCCAGAGGCTGCTGATCCCCTGGGTTTAGAGCCAGGACACCCTAGCCTGTGCCCTGGGGCAGCCAGACCTGAAGTCTCCGTGGTTTGAGGAGGGGGAGAAGCAGAGTAAAGGGGGCAAATTGCCAGGCTGGGGGTGGGGGTTACAGGTCCTCCTGTTGTTAGGAAAAGACCAGCCCCTGGCATGGCCTCAGGCCCCTGGAAGCTGAGTTTCCCTTCTTTGGGAACCTGGGGTCAAGACACCCATGTTCTAGGATCTGCCCTTCCACTCCATGTGCCCTTCTCAGGCCCCTCTCCTTAGGGACCAAGGAAGTGAGGGGCACACTGCCCAGCTCTGGCGACCTCCAAAGAGGTGGTCTTCAGACTGGGTGTGGGATCCCAAGACTGACAGTAGACAGCAGCCCACCCCCTCAGACCCTGGTGCTGGGAGGAAGACAGATCCTCCCAAGGAATATGAAATTGCAATAAAAGTGATGTTCCCTCCAACCCAGCAGTCCCTCTTATGGAACTGTGCCTCAAGGACCCAATGACCCTGGGCAAGGATAAAGACCTTGTGCCAAGACCAATTCGTGGCTGTTCATCCAGCTTGGGTCAGGACAGAGAGGCTGGTTGACTAAGTCCTGCCGGTCCAGTGGGGAGAGCACTCCCCAGCAGGTCAGGATTGTGTGGTAATTTGTTCGTGATAAGAAATGGCATTTGCAGTACATTGTCCAATAACAGAACGGGTTAGAATACAGCATGTTCCCACAGTTGTTAAGGAGGTGTGTGTGTGTGAGCCAGGGACCGCTGCTGCTGGCGGGCTTTGTATTTTCTGATATACTTGCGATAGGCAAATGTATTATGTGCAGAATCAATGTTTAAAAAAGGCTTTGTGGTTATGTGATTCGGTGAGTCTGTGTTCTTTTAAGACTGACTTAACAATTCTAAACTCCTTATTTTCTAAGACTGTGAGGTCCCATGACTGTACACTAGACATTGAAAAGTGGAAAGTGAGAAGATTCTGCAAAGCCAAGCCTGTGACTCTGAGGTTTAACAACTGAATCTAAATTTCAAAGTTCTCATGGTCTGAGAATTTAAGGTCTTGCAACTCTGGGCTCCTAAAAGTCCTTACTTCCCAAGACAGTAAGGTTCCAAGATTGACCCTACAAGTCTCCTGGGTGCCATCAGGGCAGGATGTGATAACCTGGAGCAGCCCCCCGGGGCCTCTGTGGGGAGAGGGCCTTCCCCCCTCCCCCATCCACTCCTCTCAGGCTGCACAGGAGCCGCGCTTACCTGAGGGCCATGCAGGAGTAGGAGTAGCCCACGAAAGGTAGGTGGACGCCCAGCGGCATGCCTTCCTGCATGTCCGACAGTGTCTCCTAGGCAAGAGAAACACAGATGTGAGGTAAGCAGCAGCTGTTAGGCTGGCCCCTCACCCATTCCCGGTGTTGGCTTGAGTGCCCACCACCCCCACACCCTAGCCCGGATCTATCTAAAGTGGACTCTACATCATTTTATTACATGCTGCTGCTTCGTTCAGGGCACTTGCCACAGTAAAGGTATATCTTCTCTAGACTGTGAGTAGAGGGCAGGGACCAGGGCTGATTTGGTCCAGGAGTGTCCCCAGCAGTGCCCAGCACAAAGGCAGTCAGACAGAGCAAGCCTGGGGGAGCTTGTACCAACAGCTGAGGGAGAGAAGCCCTGAGGGAGGGAGGGAGGGAGGTTCCTTTATGGTGCTTTCTTACCTCTCATCCTTCCAGGTCTCAGGTCACATAGCCCCCTCCTCCAGGAAGGGGAGGGGGCTCCCCTTCCTCCTGGAGGAAGCCCTCCAGGACCTTTCATGCTGCATCAGGAGGCGAACCCCCTACACCTCCCCACCCGTCTCAGCTCTGATCTCTCTGGGGCGTCACTGTCAGGGACAAGTCTGTGTCTTCCACTGGACTGTGAGTCTAGGTCACTGCTGGCTTCCCAGTACTCGGCCCCCAAAGAGCAGGGGCTCTGGGGAAGCAGTGATTTCAGGACCCCAGGAGGAGGGTACTCTCCTAACCTCAGTGTTATGGCGGAGGTGAGGGGTACCTTCTGCAGAGCTGGGGTCGCAGGTACCTACCCCGCCCCCGCTCACCATGGCAGTGAGCCCGTCCTCCACCATATCGAAGTTGCACGTGTCCGTGGCACCCTCGAAATCTGGCGTGAAAGGGGGAACGCTGTCTCGGAGGCTGTCCCATTCAAGGCCAAAGAAGAAAGGATGCTTCTGGAAATCCCCTGCTCCATTCCGGCCCAGGCGCACCTCCGGGGGACACAGCAGCTGCTGGATGAGGTCGCGAGCCTCCTCGGGGACTCCTGTGTCGGCCAGCGGGAGACAGAGGTGCTCCTGCTCAGAAGGGGCGGGGAAGAGGGGCTGTTACCCGGGCGCCTTCGCGGAGAGGTCACGGGCTCCCCGGGCGGCGCTCACCCTGTAGTGCACGATCTTGCCGTAGGTCTCGGCCGTGGAGTCGGCGTAGAAGGGCGTCTGCCCGTAGAACATTTCATAGGCGAACACGCCCAGCGCCCACCAGTCACACTCGGGCCCGTAGCTGCCAGTCCCCGGCCCGCCGCCCACCGCCTGCAGGATCTCGGGAGACAAGTAGTCCGGGGTGCCCACAGCCACCAGCGACCGCACCTGAGCCAACAGGACCACAGCTGAGCTTGGCCCTGCCCCTCCTACCTCTGACTCCGCCTCCTCCTGACCTCGACCCTGCAGCTTAGTCCCCCCTTCTGCCTGTTCTAACACTGAGCCCCCACAGGCAGGCTTAGGCCTGGGTCTCCTCTCTCCCCTCCAGATCTGGTCCTGCCCTCACGCTGGCTCGGCCTGCACGCTTCAGGCCCGCCCCCACACGCTGAACCTCCGGTTCCTCCCTCCACCCCGACCCCACCCGTTATTGGTCACCGGAGCTACCCCAGGACAGGCGCACGGCTCACCGTTCCATCTGCCCGCAACTTGAGGCAGGAGCCGAAGTCGGCCAGGCGGATGTGGCCGCAGCGGTCCAGCAGGATGTTGTCCGGTTTGATGTCCCTGCGCGGAGGAAGAAGGAAAGGGAAGGGGGATAAGTGAGCCTCCCTCCCGTCGTCTCACCAGGCCCCACCCTCTTAAGGATCACGGCTCTCCAATTCCCGCGCCCCTCGGTCCCGGCAGCGCCCACCTGTGCACGTAGCCCAGCCGGTGCACCGAGTCTATGGCCATGACAATCTCGGCCAGGTAGAAGCGCGCCATCTCGGCCGGGATCCGCTCCCCAAACTTGCTCAGCAGTGTTAGCAGGTCCCCGCCCACGTAGTACTCCATGACAAGGTACTGGGAGGGGGCGTGTTATGGGGAGTCGGTACCCCGCCTGGGCACCGATCTCTGACATCCCGGGACAAAGAGTCCCAGAGACGCCCCATCCCTGGGAAGAGACCCCGCAGTCGCAGCCACAAGACATCTCCCAGGCCAAAATAGACACCCCCACCCCCAATCCTCGTTCCCCCAGGTTGTCACTAGATAGAAATTCACTCCCCACCAAGAGTGTCAGGGAGAAAAACCCAAAGACCTTCCCCGATGTCCAGAGTATGGAGCCCACAGTCGCCCGGCCAGGGGCTCACCAGGTAGTTCTCGTCCTGGAAGGCGAAGTGCAGCTGCGTGATCCAACGCTGGTCCCCATTCACCAACACGTCCCTCTCTTCGCGGAAGCACGACACCTGCGGGACACCCGGAGCTGAAGCGGGCGGGGGAGGGGGCCGACGCAAGAGGGGATTCTCAGTACCCTGCCCACCCAGCCCGGCCCTCACCTCGCCTCTCTTCAGCATGTCCCACTTATTCATGATCTTCATAGCGTACACCTGGCCCGTCTGCTTCATCTTCACCACCGCCACCTGAAGGCCCAAACAGGGTAACCAGGCGGAGGTGAACTGGAGACACCCGGGCTTGCCGGGATAGGACTCCGCCCGTAACCCGGCCCAGACGTGGCCCCGCCCACAAGCCTCAAGCCCCGCCTTAGGCTCTAAACTCAGTCATTCATCACTTTCTCAGGCCTGTCTCGGAACTCCTTTGTCCCCCGCCCACTGTAGGAAAAGGCAGGTCCCAGCCCCGGCTGCTCCAGGCTCACCTCGCTGAACGCCCCGCGTCCGATCACCTTCAAAATCTCGAAGTCCTCCCTCTGCAGTCGGACCTCCTTAAGCCTCGCCGCGATGGGCTCCACTGGAGGCGTGGAGGGAACCAGAATCACAGGGACTGACGTTGGAGACGAGGCAGTCCCACCCTCGGTCCCCTGTCCTTGCCTCTCCCCTTAGGGCTGTCTGCCTCCGTCTTCACATAAACGTTTTGTGAGGTTTGGGGGTCCTAAACTACCCTCCTATGGAGAGAGGTGTGATGCCTGCGAACCCCTTTCTGGGACAGAACATTAGGCCAGAGGGCTCTCCAGGGTGCAGGATGAACGGGTTGAGGTAACAAGTCAGCTGAAAGGACGCTGTGATGAACAGAGAGAGAAGAAACAGACCCAGTTCATAGAGCTCCTGGGGCAACAGTCCCTACTCCTGGTGACCTGGCCCACCCCCAGGGCACTCTCTCCTTCAGTCTGTCGCGTTATGGCCCAGAGCCTGCAATTCAATCCAGCACCTTAGGCTCAGATGCAGGTGGCTTGTGGCCCACACTTTGGGAAATCCCGAGTTCAGGCTTGGGGCCAGAAGGAACAGGAGAGGGAGATGAAGCCGTGGACCTGCAGCCTGGGCACCAGTGCTGCAGACGCGGTCAAGTGCATCCTGTGTTCTCAACTCCAGAAGGAGGTTTTACTATCTCTCCTTATCTACACATGGGGAACCAAAGCTCAAGATCGGTGAAGTCCTCTGCCCAAGGTCCTAGAGCCAGCAATGTGGCAGAGGGCAGTCTGGGAGGGAGAGGGCAGAGGGTGGAGGCAGGAGACTCAGGGGCAGGGGGAGAGGGAGGCTTGGAAGAAGCTGGGAGCCTCCGAGGCAGGAGGGAGAGGGCGATGGGTACAGCTAAGGATAAAGGAAGATACTGTGGGTTATGGAGAGGGTTTGGGGTTCAGGGAGAGTGGGCTGGGGCCGGGAAGCAGCAGCCAGGGCCCAGGATGGGGGAGGGAGGAGACAGCCAAGACATTGAGCCCTTTTAAGGCAGCGGGAACCCAGGCCCCCTCCCCCGCCCCGGCGGCCTGGCAGGGGAGGGGCCGCAGGATGCTGCCCGGGCCACAAAAGGAGCGCTCCTTACGCGAGGGCTGATTCCTGTCCCCGCCTCAGGTCTCAGTTTATCCTGCAGCAAGAAGCGGGCTGAGAGAGTTACTAAGGACTGGGGGGATGTGGGGAGAAGGTTCTCCCAGAGGTCAAGTGGTCAAGCACTTGGCCTCCACCTTCCCATCTGCAAAATGGGGAGGAGAGAAGCAAGGCCTGGGTCAGAAAGAGATGGACACGAGAGGGAGCAGAAGGCAGAGAGGACACAGGGATGGGGGCAGGGACACACAGGTGACCAGGAGCAGGCTACTGAGGGCCAGAATGGCAGATGTCAGAGAGACAGAAACCTGAGTGCACCAGAGCCTAGGCCAGGAAGGGCCGAGGGCAGACAAAGCAGGAGGCTGAAGCTGAACCATCCTCCCTGCGGACCTGTCTCCAGGGGAACACTCAGCCAGAAGGGACTTTGGTTGGGGGGGGGGGGGGTGCAGCATGGAACCTGCAGAGAAAGTGGGCCCTCGCAGAACCCTGGTTGTTGCTTCCCCAACCAGGGGGTGCTGGGCGATGCCTGTCTGGAAAGCTGGTTCTCCCTGGGGCCTGAGTCAATGCGCCCTCCTAGGGCCTGGGCACCTGTTGGGACAGCTGGAGAGGCTGGCGCCGAACACCTGTCCATCGGCCGCACCCCTGGCAGCTGCCCTGTTCTGTCCCTCCCGCTCCCCCCTGCACTCTGACAGGGTGGAGGGCCACAGAGCCCATTTTGGTGGTGGTGGGGGAGTTCCCTAGGAGACAGGGCTCCCCAGCAAGTCCCTAGGCCTAGACTCGGGGAAGGTGTGCAGGGGGACCACAAGAGGCAGCGCCCGGCCCAGCTGACCATGGCTCCCAAGTCCTGGTTCTGAGTCATGGTCACCCTGGCCTCTGCTGACCCCGCTCTGCCTTGCCCAGTGGGGCACAGGGGGAGGCGCACATCGCCCCAAATTCTGGGCTCCTGAATGGAAGGCTCACCCCATGTCCATCCTGCCCCCAGCAACCAGCCCAGACTCACCTCCTCCCTCTGCCCTACCCCCAACCCCAAACATGAGCGGGGGTAGGGGTGGGGCTGGGTTGGGAGAAGCTCCTGCAGGCAGGTGGGCACTCACCCCACTCCAAGAAGTCGGCCACATACTTGTCCTGGGCCAGGTCGGAGGCGCCCAGCTCCTGGTGGACGCCCAGGAGAAGGTCGAGCAGGGGCTCCAGCCCCAGGAAGCCGGGGTCCAGCACCAGCTGCTGGAGCCGCCTCAGCCGCACCTCGGCTGACATGTCGGGCAGGCAGCACCATGGCCCCCTCCCCGGGCCCGGGGCTCAGGGTCCTCTCGTCATGGGGCCTGAAGGGCCCTGTGGAGGCCCCGGCCGCATGTCTGCCTGTCCCTGGCTGTCCCCTGGGCCTCTCTGGCCACTTCTCTCCACTGGCTGCGAGGGCCTCCTCCCTTTCTCCCCACCCCTCGGGCCGGCCCCCTCCAGCCTCCCGGCCTTAACCCCTCACGAGCCAGGGCCCCCCCTACTCCCGCCTCCCCGGGCCCCTCAGAAAGCTTCAACGTGAGGTGGTAGGCGGGGGAGAATCTCAACCCTCAAACTCTCCCCCTCCCCACCAAAAAGGCCCAGCGCAGGTGTGAACCATGCCACAGATGAGCCCTCCCATTCCCTGGAGGGGACCAATTGAGGTTCAGAGTGATCTGGTAACACCCCTCCCAAGCTCTGGAGCTGGGAGGGGAGAAAAAGGGGTGAGGCCTGGGAAGGGGGGGCGGGAGGCCAGGGCAGCTTTGCGGGTGACTCAGCCAAGGATTCAGACTTTGGGATGGTTTAAATTTAGCCTTCAGGCCCTCTGTTTTACACTGACTTTTTTTTTTTTTTTGGCAGGAGGTGGGGAAGGGGTGGTGAGAGAATCGGGAATGGAGGCCTCAGCAGCCAGGACCAGGGGTGACCCACTGGCCAAAGCCGGGGGGAGCCAAAGGAGCCCCCAAAATAGCTCCCTGGACCCTGGCTGCACAGCCACATTCCTGCCCAGGCTAGGATTAGAAACAGAAACATTTCGGGGGGTGGAGGGTGGAGCGGGAAGACACCACTCCCTGTGGCTCCAGAGAGCCGCCAGGAGGGATTTTCGTTGTTCTTTCCAGGGTGGACAGGCCTCCCGGAGGAAACCATGGTCTCTGGTCGGCCCTGGACGCTGGGGCCCTTGGCCGAGCCAGCAAGAGGCCAAGGCTTGTGCTGGCGGCAGGTCACTCGGGGACCTCAGGGGCTCCTTGGGGACCCCTGTCACTTCTGATTTGGACACTTTGAAAAGGAAACATTAAAAACGCCCACTGAAGACCTTGAAGGGGTCCTGGCGGCTCCCTTCCCTCTGAGAGTTTGCGGGGGCGGTGTGAGGGATCCTTCCCATCTGATGGGCCCTGCCCCCGGCTGGCCAGCAACTGACTCACCAGCTCTGTGCCCCCAGCACCGCCCTCCTCCGGTCGTCAGTTTTTTCTGCCATCGAAAGGGGGTTTGGGGGAGGCTTGACCTAGCTCTTGCTCTGCATAAAGTGGACTGATTCTAGGACTGTGCTGAACACACACACACACACTTCCTCCACACCTCCGTGGAAGGGAACAGAGACGCAGTGAAAACAGGGAACTTTAGTATAAATAAGAGGTCCCGGGGGACAGGGAGGGCCCCAAGGGTCTTCCATAATTTAACACTCTTCCAAAGCACAAGGAATAGCAGGGGCAGGGCTGGGGCCAGGGGAGGGGTGGGCCACCCCCTGACCCTCGCACAGGTCGGAGGGGCACGCTGCAGAGCTGGGGCTCTTGTGGGGGGCGGTTTCTCCCCCAGGAGTGACCAGTCACATGCTGGGGACAGGGAGGCTAACACTGATGTCTCGGAGGAAGGGGTCATTGTACTTGGCAGTGGGTGGGGACAAGGCGGAGGCCACACAGGCCACTACATCCCCCCAGTGTCTGGGCCAGTCTGAGGGACCATCTACCCTCATATCTGTGCAGGGCGAAGGACCGGAGCAGTCCATCTGTCATGGTTAGTCTTGTTAATACGTTGATCCGTGAGGTCAGCGGGAAGGGTTACACTAGGAGGCTGGGGGCATGGTGTGGGGGGACCCCAACATCCACGGCTTCACACCACTGTGCCGCTTGGGGAGTTGCCTGGCTGGGAGGAGATGCCCTGGGGAAGAGGAGAGGGGAGACAGGCAGGGGTTAGAGACCACCTGGGGCTCTCACCAGTCCCATGGGGAGGGAGCCAGCCTGGAGTCCACCAGGCTGCTGCCACCCTGGCCTTGCCCTTGAACCCACCCCAGACGCCCCCAGAGAGGCTGCTGCTCTGGGCTCAGGAACTTAAATCTCAGCTAGCTTCCCTGTCCCAGCAAGCGGCACTTTTATACAATAATTAAAGTCCTTGTGTAAGCCTGAGCAGAGATGATGGGGGAGGGGGAGGGGAGAGGGAGGAGAGGGGGGGAACTGGGGTCTCCTTCTGACTGGGGGGGGACCTGATATTCTGGCGGGGAAGGACTTAGGGACAGTCCTACCTCTACCACTGACTTGCTGGGTGACCTGGGCCAACTTCCTTCCCCTGTCTGGGCCTCGGTCTCCTCGTCTGTGAACTAGGGAGATAGAGGGGTCTCTTTCAGGCTCACCAGCTTCCCCAAATCCCAATGCCCCTGCCTCAGAAACTGTGCTTTAAGTTCTAGGGATCCAGGAATCTATGACTCTATTAAAACTCTTCCAGGGAACCAAGGCACAGCCCTCCCATCTGGCCTCCTGGCCCCCGAACCCAAAGCCCAAGGAGACTCCTGAGACCCCAGCTCCCATGTCATACAGCACCAGGCCCCCACTTCACTTGCTGGGGCCTCTCTGAGCCCCAGGGCCAACCCAGGAGGTGGGCACATCCACCCACCACCCATCTTCATGCGGCCCTGTCCTCAGAGATGAGAAGGGTTAGGAAGAGGCAGTGACTCGCTCGAGGTCACACAGGGAGCTATAGTGCAAGCTGGAACCCGGAGCCTGGATCCCACAGCCCATGCCTCCAGCTGTGGGCTTGCATCCCAGGAGTCTGAGACCCAGGCTGGAAGCCGGGGCCCACAGGCTTAGTCTTGCCCACAGAGCTGGACCTGCAGCCTTAGAAACATCTCACCATTCAAGTATGACCTGGCCATGCGGGGCCCATCGGCTGCCCTTCAGACAGCTGGCCCCGGTCTCCACCACTCCCAGAGGCTTCTCCTACCTGACCTGCTCTCTGCTGTTGCCTGGCAATCGTTCTAGAAGCCACTCTAAGACCCGGGAGCCTTTTCCTGGGACAAAATTTCCATGGCTTCCCCGTACCCCAAGGGGCTGGAGGCTGTGCCCTAACAAAGCCCTCTGCCAAGGCCCACCTCTGCCAGGGTCCTGGTGGGCTGGCGAGGGTAGACTCACCGCCTTGCCCGGCCGGGCCCAGGTGCAGATGAGGCCCTCCTGGCAGGCGGTGATGATGCAGTCCTCCAGGAAGAGGAGGACTGTAAGCCGCTCCTGGGCTATCTTCTTGCACACCAGCGGCTCCAGCAGCGGCACCTCGTGGATGCGCGGGCAAAGCGCGGTGCCCAGAACCTTGGCGGGGTCCAGCCGGCTTCGGGGGGCGGGACCGCTGGGCTTGTCCCCGCCGCCCCCACCCCCACTGCCACCCCGGCTGATGTTGCCCAGACTGTGGTAGCGCTTGTGCTCTTTCTCGGCCCCCCGGTCCCGCCGCTCTTGCAGCGTGAGCGTGGCGAAGCGGCCGATGCTGAAGGGCGTGCCGGGCTCTGCCGCGGTGCCGGGGGCGCCCGCCTTGCCGCTGCCCGCGGGGTGCGGGAGGCTGTTGGAGCGGGACAGCGAGCGGGGCAGGGGCCCGGGGCCCGGCTCCCCACCCCGCGAGCCGCTGGCAGCAGGCGGCGTGGTGCCAGGCGTGCCTGGGAGGGTGCGCGTGCGGGCCAGGGGAGGGTGTGGGTAGAGCACGTCTTCGGTGAGGTCCCACAGGCAGAACTGCGTGTCCTGGCCGGCCGAGCCAAAGCGGTAGGTGATGGAGCCGGCCTTGGGGAGTGGGGAGAGCGGGGCGCCCCCGCCCGAGCCTGTGCTCCCGGCCTCCGGCTCCTCCTCCTCCTCGCCGCTCCGCTCCCCGTCGGCGCCCTCATCCGCTGCCTCCTCTGCCCTCGTGGTGTAGGGGTCGAAGGCCACAGCGTTGACCCAGGACTTGTGGCCGTGGCCCCGGGCCACCACGCGGCCCTCCGTGAAGGACCACACGGTGACCAGGTCGTCTTCGCCCCCCGTCACGACGTAGCGCCCGTCGGGGCTCCAGCACACGCAGAGCAGGCCCCCAAAGTAGCTCTTCATGAGCCCCCGCAGGAGCATGGAGTCGAAGTGGAAGACGCGCAGGCAGCCATCCTGGCTGACGCAGGCCAGGTGCCGGCCGTCGGGTGAGAAGGCGAACTCGTTGAGGGGCCCCTCGCCCACGGCCCACTTGGCCAGCGGGTTGCGAGGCGCCTTGCTCTTGGCGGCGTAGACGGCGAAGCCCTCACCCTGTTTCAGGAGGCTGTACTGCGGCGGCGCGGAGGCGCATGGGTGGCCCACGTTGTACAGGTACAGGTGGCCGCTGGCATGGGACGCCAGGAACAGGCTCTCTGACTCGGGCAGCCACTTCAGATACGTCACCTTGGTCTTGTCGATGAGCCGCTACCAGGGGAGAGACAGCGGTTGGGAGAAGGCCACCCTCCCCTGGCCCACCTCCTCCCCAGCCTGGTTCCCCGCAGAAGGTCATCATCCCCGGCCTGGGTCTCCAGGGAGAGGAGGGACTGGGGCAAAAGGACAGACACCAGATCACGGGAAAGCAGGGGGAGAAGGGCTGTGTGAGGGGCGCTCCGTGGAGCCTCAATGTCCTTTCTTCGGCGGGAGGGCAATCCTGCCTTCCAGAGCACTGTCTTCTGTCGACCCCCTTCTACCATCTTTACCATGTGGTGCTTAAGGCAAGAAATCGATTCACAGACTATTAGCTCCCCTGAGGAAGGGACCTTTGTTTATTTGGTTCATTGTTCTGGCCCCACAGCACAGAGCTGTGCAGGTAGGAGTCCTGGAAAGTAGTTCCTGGACTCATGAATGACAACCCCATCCTGTCGGCTGAGCATCTCTGCTCCCTTCTGTCCTCGGCACTCTCTTCCACACCTGCAAGAAATCCTGTGGACTGGAGCTTTAAAATTCACCCAGAAACTGACCTGTTCTCATCTCCCCCCACCGAATCCAACCACCCTGGTCTCAGCCATCATCAGGCATGTGATGGCCTAACTGGCCTCCAGGCCACCACCGCCCAGGTCTCTTCTCTACACCATTGCCAGAGAGATGCGATTAAAACCTAAGCCAGCAAACTAGCACTCTGTCCCACCCTGAACACACACAGCAGCCTTTATCAGGCAGGGCTCCGGAGAAAACCCAGCCTTGAAGTCCTTCGGCATCCACTGTCTGTAACAAATGAACTTCTTTCCCAGGTATCTATGTGGATTCTCATTCTCCATTCTCTGGAGAATTTAGAAATCAATCACATCGTTTCTGCGTTCTATGGCTCAGGTGAACCCCTGTGGCAAGCGTCCATGACCTTCCAGACCCTACATCTCCTGGCCCTTCCGAGTTGTTTCTGAGAACTTCTCCATTACCCTCCCCCTCAGCGCTGCTCTGGCCACCCAGCCTTTCTGCTCTCCTGCTTTCGGCATCTGTGCTAGCTGTTCCCTCTAGGCAGAACGTCCTTCTCCCTAGTAACTTCTCCTGCCTCCTTCAGGTCCTTTATTTCCCTGTCACCTTCTAGCGAGACCTTTCCTAACCTCGCCAAGCACTCCCATTCGCCTTCCCTGCTGGATTTTCGTCCACGACTTGCTGACAGACAGCACACTTAGGTATTTGATAACTATCTGTCTCTCCCAGAGAGATGAAAGCTCCACAAAGAGAGCTTTTTTGTTTTGTTCACTGAGATATAATACTCCTAGTGCTTAGAGCAAAGTCTGGCAATGAACGAGAATGCTCAGTTAATATTTTGTGAATGGATGAACTAGTCCATTTTTAATCCATTCCCTGTTCAACTCACTCTCCTCTGCCATTCATGCATTCTGTACATTTGGGACACCCTCTCTGAACACAGGAGATATAGAAACAGAGGACGAGAGTAGTTCTGGACACAGATAAGCTCTTCCGCTGGCATTTCCCCTTATGCCAGGTCCACCCAGGACTGAGCAACCTCCACATATGATTTACAACAGTCCTGTGAGGTAGGGACAGGAATCCCACTTTTCAGTGGAGGAAAACTGAGGCTAAGGAACAGGCACCTTCCCAAAGCCACAGTGAGTAGATGATGTAGTCCAGAATTTGAAGAGCAAGGGTTCTGGCTTCAAACAAATCCCAACCAATGACCACCCTCAGTCTTCTAACCTGCAGAATGGGTCTCACAATCCTAACCCATTGGTTGATGAAAATGCCAAGAGTAATGTGTTCAGCATAGAGCTAACACAGCACAGGGCCTGGGCACCAGAGGTGCATCTGTCATCGTTAGCTGGCATCAGAATAACTGCTGTCACCCCCTTCGATGAATCTGTCAGTCCACCCCCCATCTCTCCCTCATCCTGCCCCTACTCAGGCCGACACTGCTCCCCAGGCAGCTGTAGTCTCATGGCAAACAGCGTGAGGGTGGGTGGGACAGGGGAGGAGTTCTGAGCCATAGGGACCCATAATCACCTCCTCATTGAATAGTTTGCTGGTGTCCTTCTTAATGAGATCCAGGTACTGGACTTGACCGGCTGAGAATCCCACCAGCAGGGAGATGGTTTCCGTGGCAGCAGTGAACTGGTTGAAGTCATGGCAGGTGGGCTGAGTGCCCTTATAGATCCGCTTGTCAATTGGCTTGTTGAGGTCAATGGACTTGAGTGGTGGGAGAAAACAAGTTAATAGCTTCTACCACTGAGAGGAAGGGAGAGGGTGTTGAGGTTGGGGGAAAAACCACAAAGAGGAAGCAGGACTAAAGCCCTGAGGGAAGTGGGTAGGTGGACGGGTAAATGAGGAGTGAAGGGGCAACCACAGACAGGAAGGACGTCCCAAAACACAAAGGAGAACACCAGGCAGGAAGGTTCCCCCGCTGCCACCACATGAGACCACTAAGTGTCTCCTTCCCCAAGTTGGACCCCCTCCCCGCCCAACTTCAGGGACTCTTGCCTACAGTATCAGTGCAGGGTCCCCATAGTCCCTAAGCTTCTATAGTCCTCCCCCATAATTTCAGCAACTCCCCTAGGTCTTAGCACCACAATATTCCAAGACCACCAAAACTCAGGATCATCCAATCACCAGAACACTAAAGCCCAATGTCCCAGGAGTCTCTTCACTCTGGAGTTCCTAAATCTCAGAAATCCGATCACACAGTTCAGGAACCCATTAAATCTCACAGTCTTCCCAAACTTTAGGTGCCTTCATCACCTCTGAGCTCTCAGGATCCCCAACACTTCCGGGGGCTATCACTCCAAGGGTCTCACGTCCTCTGGGACCGACATCACTTTAGAGAAACCTGTCATACCTGAGGATATCACCTCCGTATCTCCCATCGGCTCCGAGATTCTCACTTCCTCCAGCACCCTCATTATCTCCAGAACCCCATTTTCTCTAGAGTCCCATTCACCTTCGTGATCCCTATTAGCTCTAAGCCCCCACCACTTCTAGAATCCTCCTCACCTCTGGGCTCCCTAATTCCCCCCGGAAACCCCCAGAATGCAATATCCCTGGGTATCACTTCTGAGCCTCTAATTCCCAACACCTGCAAAATGCCTGCCAGCCAGAATCTTGGAGGACCCCACAACCATCTCGGATTCTCCATCACCTCCAGAATAGTCACCATCCCAGAAGCCCCACGCATAACCTGGGGATCTCACGTGATCTCAAGGCCTCCCACCATCTCCAGGATGGCCAGCACTCACTGGGCCTCCCATCACCTTTGAGAACCCTGCATCATCTCCAAAAACCCTTTCCCCCTAGGACATCCATCACATCAAGGATGCTTCTCTCCGGGCCCCCTGTCATTCAGGTACCTTTCTGTCACTTGTAAATCACCTCAGGGGTCCCCATCCTCTCAGCCTGCACCCAGGGCCCCAATTTGCAGGCCGCTCACCCGTTGGCTCCCACGGCGACAGCAGCCCGGGTAGAAATAGAGCTCGCGGCCCAAGTTGAAGCAGACGCGGTCTCCCCCGGCGCCCAGCCCCGCGGGCGTGGCGGGCGGCTCCCCGGCCCCGGCGCCGTCGGGCTCCCCGAGGCGCACGAGGCTTAGGCGCACCGCAGGCAGCGCGGGCCCGGGCCCGGGGCCTGCAGGCGGAGGGGACGGAGCGGGGCCCGCGGCGCCGGGGCCCGAGGCAGAGGCAGGGCCGGGCGGGGGCTGCGGCGGCTGGGGCGGCGCCGGGGTCTGGGCGGAAGCCGGACCCGATCTGCGGGCGGCGCCGTCGCCGGGGAGCAGCTTGTAGAAGCCCTCGCGGGTGCGGAACTGCGACTTGATTTCCGCACAATCCCCCATGGCGGCGCCGGGCCCCGAGCCGCCCTCCGCGCCGCCCGCCGCCATCTTGTGCGCCCCCCCACCCCAACCCCGGACCCCGCCGCTGCCCGACCGCCGCCCGCTGCCGGGCCCCCTGCCGGAAGTCGGGGTCCGCACCGGAAGAGGTGGGGTCGTCGCCCAGGCAACGCCTTTTCGATTGGCAACAGGGTAAGGAGGCGGGACGAGCTCCAGCCGTCGCTCTGGTAACGGTTCTGGGTCTGAAGGCGGAGCTACAAGGTGGGCGCGGCCTTCGTGCCTGCTACCGTCTAGTGGTTGGCTGTGGGGGCGGGGCCCTCAGAGAAAGGGGCGTGGCCATTAAAGAGCCCTAGCCCTTAGCAACAGCGCCGTGGGAACCGTTTGCGTAGCAACGGGAGTACCCTCAAGTGGAGGCCTTGTCCACAACTTGTCCTTCCCATGACGTCACAGAAATGACTTCAGGTTACCCCAATGTCTCCTGAAGACTCCCAACATACACCCTCCAGTGTTTTCCACTTATATCTTAAAGTCCCCGACTGACCACAGCATCTCCAACCCTTCCTCCCCACCCTTGATGATCCTGCACATCTCATTGATCTCCAACGTCTCCATAAAACTCCAGTGACTTCATCTGACCCAATACTGATTAATACTAACAGCAAAAAGACCCTGATGCTGGGAAAGATTGAAGGTAGGAGGAGAAGGGGACGACAGAGGATGAGATGGCTGGATGGCATCACAGACTCAGTGGACATGAGTTTGAGTAAGCCCCGGGAGTTGGTGATGGACAGGGAGGCCTGGCCTGCTGCAGTCCATGGAGTCGCAGAGAGTCGGACATGACTGAGCGACTGAACTGAACTGAACAGCTCCACATTTTCCACCAAACTCCTATATATCTCCACAACTCCACTGTCTTCAACAACCTCACTCCTTCAATGCCCACCAAAATTTGATTGATCCCTGCAATACCCTCGGTATCCCAATAATCCACTAGTAATCCAAAATCTCTTCCTGATCCCAACAGCTCCCTAATAGTCAGTGTCCCTCCCTTCCTGTTCCCATCACAGATCTTGAATGAAACTGACAACCTTACTTCAAATCCCATTCCTCTCCTGTGTCATTTTATGGGCAGCACTGCCATTCCTTCCAGTCACCAGGCTGCAGATTTCGGTGTTTCCCTAGACTTCTGCCATTTCCCTTCACTCCCTGATTACAATCCCCAAGTCTTTTGCATTCTGTCACCTGAATTCCTCTATTCCAGTCCATTCCTCTTTGCAGGCTTGGTCAAAACTCCTCTCCTGCTTGGACTCTCCCTGTATCAGCCCTGTTTCTGCTCTCCCAGATCCATGTCTCACCCCTCTATCTACTCTCCACTTGGGATCTAGAGAGGTCTTTCTGAAGCCCAAATACGATCAGGGCTGGCCCACCCCTGTTCAAATTCCATCCATGGCCTCCCTAGGGCTCTCAGGACAGAGTTCAACCCTGGGTAATCTGTTTCTGCCAACTTCTCTTTCCAGCCTTATCTGTCACCACTGACTCCTCACACCATGTCTCAAAAATGAGGTTTGAGCATCTACCCCAGCACATCACACTCTCTCTTGCTCCTGGATCTTTGCACACCCTGTTCCCTCTGCCTGGAGCCTTACCACTCTGTTCTTGACCATTTATGAGCTAGAACTCAGAAGCTCTGTTAGTCCTCTGGGCTCCCCCTTCTGGGTTGTCATTCCCTGAGGAAGGCATCTGTCTCTCCCATAGAGTATCCAGCCCTGGGAGAGTAAATCTGGGGTCACTTGGTCATTGCTGTGTCCCCAGCACAGGGCTGGGCTGACCAGGGGTGGCACTTCAAGAGTTGTTTGATGGCCAGATGAATGAATAAATGAACACATGGGAGAGACTATGCCAGGCAATGTCTGGGTTCACAGCAAAGTGCTACAGTCCTGACTCTGAGGTCCTGTCAACAGACATGGTGAACAAATGACTGAGTGACTCACCCAAGTGCCTAGGGGAAATTTTATTTAGAGCAGCTGCCTTCCTCTTCTACCCCTGTCCTCCAGGGGCAGAAAGCAAACCTACAGTGAAAAAAAATCAAGCCATAACTCTGTATAAGGGAAAACCTGCTAGCTACCTGCTTGAGGAAGGGGGCTAGGGGGCCTCAGTCATCCTGGTCCTCATCCTCATCTTCCTCTTCGTCTTCTTCCTCTTCTTCCGCAGCCGCCAGGGCCTGCTCCTGGGCAGCCTTCAGGGCCTGCTCCTCCTCCACTGTGGGGTCGCTCATCTCTATCGTGTCCGGGCCGCTGGGGTACTCGTGCTGAATGGGGGCTGGCAGGGATGGGTTGAAGTTCTCAGGACTGTACTTGTGGCCCCAGCCAATGTAGATGTTCTCAAATTTCCTGGAGGAGCAGAGAGATGCTGGCAAGTCCTCCCTCAAAGACCCCAGCCTGGACTTTTGTTAAAGGTGGACCCAGGGTAGGCACAGCATGCCTGCAGAGTTGTGGGCGGTAGAGTGAAATGGGCCCACCAGGTTTCCCTATTCATTTGTTCTTTCACTATTTACTGGGCATCTTCCTAACTGCCAGATTGTGTCCAGAGCTGCAATGTCTAACAGCACACATAGCTGGTGAGCGCTTGAAATGGGGCTGGTGAGACAGAGGAACTGAATTTCGAATTTTATTTAATTTTCAGATTTCACTTGTGGTTTCTTTGACCTGTTGATTGTTCAGGACTATGCTGTTTAGTTCCTACATACTTATGAATTTCCCAAATTTCCTTTTTTTAAGAGATTTTTTGTTGCTGTTGTGGATTAATTTTTTTTCAAGTCTTGATTTAATTTATTACAATTTTGCTATTTTATGTTTTGGTTTTTTTGTCTTCAAGGCCTGTGGGATCTTAGCTTCCCGAAGGGATCGAACCTGCACCCCCTCCATTGGAAGCTCAGATTCTTAATCACTGTGCCACCAGGAAACTCCCTCAAATTTCCTTCTTTAACTGATTTCTAATTTTATTCCAGTGTGGTAAGAGAAGATATTTTATATCATTAATCTTTCTAAATTTATCATTTGGTCTATCCTGGGGAATGTTCCATATGCACTTGAAAAGAATGTGTGTTTTGCTGTTGTTGGATGGTGTGGATTTTATTTAATTTTAATTAATCTAAACTATAAAACCAATACTTCATTTATTGGAAGACATCCAAGTATGTCTGGGACAACCTGGGCACATGAATCTACTTTTTCAATTGTAAATGTTGTGAAATCTGAATACAGGTCAAGTATTTCTGATGAAAATTTAGTACCTAAGGGACTTCCCTGGCAGTCCAGTGGTTAAGACTCTGCATTTCCAATGCAGTGGGGTGTGGGTTTGATCTCTGGTTGGGGAACTAAACTGGCCGCAAGGTATGGAAAAAAAATTCAGCACCCGAATTGAGATCTGCAAGTGTAACCTTCACTCCAGCTTTTGAAGACTTAGTATGAAAAAATACAAAGTAGCTCATTAACAATTTTTACATTATTGATTTCATGTTGTAATAAGAATATTTAGGATTATTTGGAGTTGAATACATTATTAAATGAATTTTGCCTGTCTTTTTACTTCTTGAATGTGGCTACTAGAAAATTTAAATTTTCTACATAAATATGTGGCTCATATTTTATATACATTGGCCAGCACTGATCTAACCGTGGGAGCCTAGCAGTGAACAAATTAGACAAGAATTAGAATTGCTGGCAGAAACCAAAGCAATATTGTAAAGCAATTATCCGTCAATTAAAAACAAATCAATATTAAAAAAAGAATTAGAATTGCTGCCGTATTGCCTACATTCTAGAGGGAGGAGACTAATAATACAAAAGGATGTAATTGGTTGGGTCCCAGCCCCACCAACACACCTCTCCCCAGACTTTTAATGGGTGAGGCAAAGAGGAATAAGTGGGAGAAAAGGGAAGAGCCTGAGAGACAGGGAGAGAGCCAGACAGTTTGCCCTGGTGAGCAGTTTGGATTTGACCTTATTTTCACAGCCTTGCTGTTCCCTCGAGAATCCTTTTCCTCCAGATCTCTTTGTCGGAGGCTTCAAAATCACTGCTTCCTTGGAAACCCCTGACCTCTGCCAGCCCTGGTCCCTGGGGTCCAGGAACCAGCGCCTCACCCAGGAGGCTGCACTTGCTAGGAAGGCAGAGTCCTGGGCTCCAACCCAGACCTAGGGGACCAGAAACTGCGCTTTAGCCAGAGCCCCAGGTGAGTCCTATCCACTCGCAGTTTAGGAAGCTCTGGTCTAGAGTATCCTCCTAGGGAGCTCCCTGGAGGTCCAGTGGTTAGGACACAGTGTTTTCACTGCCAGGACCGGGGTTCAGTCCCTGGTCAGGGAAATAAGATCCTGCAAGTCTCTCGGCCAAAATAAATAAATAAATCTGATTTAAATTGTTAAAAAAATAATAAAAGAAGAAGGGGAATGTCCCCTGGTTACTTCTCTTTCCCTCAAAGATTTCAAATCAAGGCTGCTTCTCCCAGGAATCCTTCCTTGATCCCTAGACATGACAGTTGTGAGCTATCATCTGTCCCTCCACTCTCCCCAGTGGTGCTTCTCTCAGTTTGGAACTGGATATTTGACTGGGGTGGGGACGGGGGTGAGGCTCCATGTGCAGTTGGCAACTATGCCTCCTCTGCCTGCTCCCAGATTCAGATCTGCTTTTTCAACAAAGTGCTTGGGGCCCAGCATACAGCTGGCAAACAGTGACATTCCAGAGTCTTTTATAAACAACAAAGTGGGGATAGATGGATGCCTGAATGGGTGGTGGATGGGAGGGTAGATGATGGGTGGTTGGAGTGGAGGATGGGTGGGTGAGAGGAGCTCCAAGTTTGGATCTTTTGCTTTCAGAGGAATGTTGGCATATCAGAGTGTGGCCAGAAGGGCATTGGTAAAAGCAAGCATTTCCCTTCCACGCTTCTGGAAGCGAAAAAGAAATTGCCAAGAATGTGGATAAATTATGAAGATTACATGAAATCCCACCTTTCCTTGTGAATCCCAGTAGCGAACCCCGTGCAGGTTCATCATTGAGATGGAAAAGGAAAAGCTATGAAAAGTCGTCGTGCCATCTGGTGGACAGCGCTGGTAAGTGCATGCCCCGTGAGCGGAAAAGCTGCGATGTACCTGGTGAGAGGCGGAGGGACTGTCTGGAGTGTGTAGCTGAGGTGGGAGGATATGGAAATGACTTTGGCTTGCAGACCTTTTGGAAACGACCGGTGGAGGGATCCTGATGGGGAAGATTTCTGCCCATAGAGAGAAGACCCTTCAGATTGGAAGAACTGTCCAGGAAACTTAGGGAAGGAGTTAGCTTCTCCAGAGATGAGACTCTGTCCTTCTAAGGGCCATCCCAAAGGGGACGTCTGAGTCCTGTCTGGCTCCATGTCTCATAGAGCACGGAACCCTGGGACAGGGGGGTCAGATATCCAGGTCTGAATCCTGCAGGTGCTGTGTGACCGTGAGTCAATTCCTTCCCCTTTCTGAGCCTCCATTCTTTCATCCCAGAGGCTCACACCCTCTTGGTCTGGGATTTCTTGGTCTGGGATTTTAACCCTAGTGGGACTCCTGGATTCGGAGTGAAGACATCAGCCCATAGGGGCTTCCTGAAGGGAGCCGATCCGATCTGTGCCCACCCTGGTGGGTTGCCCCACCACGCCAGGCTCTGATGAAGTTGTAGGAGCGCCCTCTGCTGGGGAAAACTAGAAGACCTACTTGCCACTGGCGTAGGCATAGGCCCCTGGCCAGAGATTGGAGCGCACGACCGCCACGGAATACTGCGGGCTGACGGTGCAGGACAGGCGGGCGGTCCACGGTGCCATGTGCATGATTTCTGTAGGGGAGTAGAGAGCACCAGGGAGGTCAGAGACGGGGCTGCAGCCCGCCCCTGCAATGCACAGCCCCCCGGAAGGGAAGGCGAGAGAAGGACGGCAGGGAGCAAAGAGGGAGGACGACGACGGGCATGAAGGGAACGGCGGGAACCGACAGCCCTGGCTTCCGTGTTTGAACCCTGACTCTGACCACCTGAGGAAGCCACTCCACCTCTCTGAGCCTCAGTGATCACACCCAGGCCATGGAGACACTTATCTCACCTCCTGGGCAGGGTGGCAGTGAGCCCCGAGGGCCCCTGACCCGGGAGCCACTGTGATTCCCCTTCTAGATTGGCCATCAGTTTGAACCAGGGCTCAGAGGACGGGGTACAGGCTCCAGACTCATGGAAATCTGCCTTCACATCCTCACTCTGTCTGCTCACCCACTCTCAGCCTCTCCTCCTTCCTCCCTTCAGGTACCTGAGGTCCCAACCGCAAGTCCTCCGACATCCAGCTCAAGTCCTGCCTCCTCTGGGGAGGCCGCCCTAGCTCTCACTCCCTTTTCCCAAGCCTACCATGCATCACCATCTGGGCTGTTGCCATGTGCCAGACACGGCCCACAAGATGGACATGCTCCTATAACCCCATGGGCTGCCCATTTTAGAGATGAGAGTGTGACAGAGGCTCAGTGAGCCGGTTTCCCTCCCTTTCTCCCAGCCTCCACCGGCCTGTGTGTGGGGCTCTTACCTGCGTCTTCTGAGAGCGGGGTCAGCAGCGGGGGTCCGACCTCCTGCTCCACTTCCTCTATGCCTTCATCTGCCTTCTCTTCCTCCTCCCCCAACTCCTCCTCCTCTTCTGTCTTCTGCAAAGGGTTCACCCAAGTGCAGCGGCCCTGCCGGTGGGGAGGAGGAGGTCAGCTGGTAGCCCCAGGGAGCAGGGCGGGCTCTGTTCCCTGGGAGGTGGTGAAGGGCCAGGCAGGACGCTGGGGACAGGTCCTATCCCCAGGGACCCAGGTGTGGGTAAAGGTCAGGGTGAGCTGCACAGACAGGAGGGTGGGGGAGAATGGGCCGAGAGGGAACCCCGCCTCTCAGCCTCTGTGGGCTCCGTTTAGGCAGCCTTCCATCCATTCACTTATTGCATATTTAAGGAGCACCTGCTATATACACGCAGCGCTCCAGGTGCTGGAGTTACGTCCTCGAGAAAAAGAGACCCCACATCTCTGCCCTTGTGGAGTTGACATTCAACAGCCCATATGATGCTCTGTTTGCTCATCTGTGAAATGGGGGTGTCATGCGTGCCTCTCTCATTGGATTATTGTTGGGTTGAAGGAAGTACTGAAGACTCAGTAAACGTTTGTTGAATGAATGAGTGAATCTAAATGCAGAGCATATAGCAGACCTCAGTTTCAGCAACTGAATGGGAATGGCCATTATAGCAATCTCAAAAGCGGTTATTTGGAGTCCATAATCAATGTTTATCAAATAAATGAATGAATAAAAAAGTTCCTAGCACAAAACAGGTGCTTCCTTGAATGGATAAGTAAATGTATGTAAAATTCAAACAATCTAGGCATTCAGTAAATGCAGGTCCACCACCTCTTATCCACACTTTCAAAATCTGAAAAGCTTTGAAAACCAAAAGTTTTTTCATGAGTCATTTGGCTGCAATCCTGACCTGACTGATGAGAGGCTGTTCAATGTTGCTGCAGAAATAGTGACACCTTTACAGATGGGCTGCAGCCCCAGCGCCTCCTTGACGTGTTATGTAATATATGGTATGTGCACTGTGTCATCTTTTTGTTTTTGTGTATTTTTAAAGTACTCTCATTTTTATAAGTACTTTTGCTTTTTTTTTTGCCATGCCACTCGTCTTGTCAGATCTTAGTTCCCTGACAAAAGATCAAACCCCCACCCCTAGAAGCCTGGAGTCAGCAAGAATACTGGAATGGGTTGCCATCTCCTCCTCCAGAGGAACTTCCCAACCCAGCTCTCCTGCATTACAGGCAGATTCTTTACCACTGAGTGACCGGGGAAAGCCCCTCCTAACTACTGGACCACCAGGGAATTCCAATGTCACCATTTTCAAATCTGAAAAATTCGGGATTCCAAGAGGCGTCTGGTCCCAAAGGTTTCTGACTGGGGACTGTCAACCGATATCTGTTGAATGAATGAATGGATGCATGCGTGGAGGACTACTACCGACCACAGATGCCTCACTGCCAGCAGGTGCTTGGTATAGCTAGTTCCAGAGTCACACCTGGTCCTACACCCCCCACTGCCGACCCCGGGCCTGGGCGCTGGAGTCCCACCCTCACCTGCGGCAGGATGTGCTGCGTGTGGTGCACCCAGTTGGCCATGGAATCCACCAGCTCGAGGACTGGGATGCCCTCAAAATCGGGGTTCTCCTCGTAGGAGTCGCGCCCGGCTCCGCCCTCCTCCTCTTCGTCGCCCTCCTCCTCGCCAAACTGGTAGAAGCCAAGCGGACTGATGTGTGTGGCGGCAGAGATGCGAGCGATCTGGGCCCGCAGGTAGTTGGCCTCGTTGCCCGGGAAGGGCGGGTAGCTGATGACCGGCGCGTCCAGGTAACCCGTGAAGAACTTCCTGATCTTGCGGGCCTGCACGATCTGGATCGGCGTGACGTGGGGCAGCCGCATCCACGGCCGGCCCGGCTCGTTGCAAACGAAATACAGGTATCTGTTGGTGCCGATTCGGCTCTCTTCCTTGGGGATGACGGGCGGCGGCTTCCATGTGGGCTTGGGGATGACGTCCATGACCTTGTCTTCGTCCTCGTCACCCTCCTCCTCGTCGTGCGCCTCCATCACCTCGCCGCCCTCTGTCATCTCCTCCAGCTCTTCCTCCTCCGCCTCCTCTTCGCCCTCCCGGAATTCCACCTCGGCCACCAGGTAGCTGCGACTGAGCCCCAGGATCTTGCCCCAGAAGCGGCAAGTGTGGATGGGCTGCTGCTCCACCAGCTGCTTCAGGGCCATGAAGATGCGGAAACTCTCATCGGAGCTCAGGCCCACGCCGGCCTGCTCGAAGTAGAAGGCCTTCTCCATGATGTTGGGCACCGCGGTCTCAGCCTGCAGGGGGGTGGGGTAGGGAGCGGAAGGCAGAGGGAACCAGGTTGAAGCCTTCCTCCCCATGCTGATTCTCCTAGAGTCCAGAGACTTAAACTACTCGGTAACCCAGTTGCTCACGCAACCATTTCTGGCCACTGATGTACGGTTGTGTGTGCCAAGGGACGATGATGCTTAAATAGTACCTGTGTGAGTACTCAGTTGCTCGGTTGTGTCTGACTCTTTTGCAACCCCCATGGACTATAGTCCACCAGGCTCCTCTGTCCATGGGATTCTCCAGGCAAGAATACTGGAGTGGGGTTGACATTTCCTCCTCCAGGTGATCTTTCCAAGCCAGGGATCCAACCTGCATTTCCTGCATTGGCAGGCAGATTCTTTACCACTGAGCCACCTGGGAAGCCCTTAAATTGTATAGTTGATGTAAAAGATTTGGGGACAAACATACTGTGTTTTTTTCTTAAAGGTGTATAATGCATTCACATTTTCTTCAAAGCTCCATTTGTGAACTCAGTGTTATTAATAAAAGGAACAAGTACTGCATCTTCTTTCTATGAATGCTAGACTGGTTCCTTATTCACAAATATTAGAAGTCCCTCTCCACGGGGGGATTATGTATTCCCACCCCCACCCCTGCGCATTCAGGATTGGTCATGTCACTTGCTCTGACCACTTGAAATGGGAGTGAAAGGGACACGGGTCACATCCAGGCAGGAGCTGTAAGAACCTGTGTGGGGTTTGCTATGCCTTGATTTTCCTGCTCTGCAACTGTGGGGGCCTGAGTCACGGTGGCATCTCCATCACCATTCATCTCAAGTAGCTGATGAGCCAAACCTCCTAGTCCAACCTGGATGGGTAGGTAGTGTGAGCGAGAAATAAACTGTGTGATGTTAAGCCACTGGGCTTGTTGCACTGTTTGTTATCTCAGCTCGACATGGCACACCCTGACTAATACTCTATAGGAGGAACACCATGATTTTGAAAGTGATTCTGGCAGTTTCCCGCAATCTGAAAGATAGGGAAAAAGCTTCTTTGCCTAATTGACATTTACACCAGCAACTCAGTGGGACAGTCAAAAGTGAATCCCCAGACTGACTGTGCTGCCGGCAGGGAAGCTAAGTGAATGAGCAAAGGAAACTCTCTTTGGAGTGTGTGCCTGGCCCGTGAGCCTGTGGCCATCACCCTCTTTCTGGGAATGTCTTCTATCCACTTGGCAATGGAGTGGCCTCACCAACCATGATCAAATTATGTCACCCTGCCCTCTGGTCACTGTTGACTGGAGCAAGTGAGGACCAAATGGCAGCTCAGGCTCTCCTTCTCTCCCTCTGTGATTTGTAACCACTAGACTGCTGGGGAATTCCCTTGCTCCCTGGATTTGAAGAAAAAGGGAGTCAGTGGGTGGGAGGGAATTTCTTGGTGGTCCAGTGGTTAGGACTCAGCCCTTTCACTGTTGTGGCCTGGGTTCAGTCCCTGGCCAGGGAACGAATATCCCACAAGCCGCATAGCTCAACCAAAAAAAAAAAGGTGGGGGGGGAACATACTGAGAAGAGCTCCCCACTCCCCTTTCGGGGCACTGGTGTGAAATATGATGTCTGAGGCTGTAGTAGTCATTGTTCGAACATAAAGTGATAAACAAGGTACCAAGCGGCAACACGATGATAGCAGAACAGAAGGGAGGGAAGCGCTGGGACTCTCCATTATCTCACAGAAATGCTGCCCCAACTGTACCCACTCTCAGCACAGTGTAGTAATGAAGTGTTTTGCTGGACTGCTTGGGCCAAGTCCCTGCAGCCCAAAGTGACCCTTACTGAGATAAGGGTCAGAGATAGGGCTTATACCCAGGCTTTATCCTGAAAACTGCTTTCTTGGTTTGGATGGAGTAAGGGCGAGGGATGAGGGAGAGACAGGGGAGAAGATAGCCCTCACTATCCCTTTGCTGAGGAGCCACCTTGCCAACTCTAGACTGCTCGCACCTGACTGTTAGGTGTGAGAAAAACTATCTTGCCTAAGCCACTTGTCTTCATTTCTGTGACATCTATTTCCTGTCTTAAAGTGATCTCTGTTGACAAACAAGTACAAGAATAATACTAAAGTTTCTTTAAAACTATAAACGTAAGACTAGTGAGGAACTTTCCAAAACAGAGGTGCAGTGACGGGGAGCCTTATGCCAACTGTGCAGCCAAATCTGCTATGCAGCGATTGTATGCAACAAGCAGGAGAGTCCCAGAACAGAAAACCATCTACAGAGCAAGGCACAAAGCAGGGACTCCAGAAACAGACTGGGGTCCATACAGCTGTAAATGAATGGCAGGGGTGGCATTTTCAAAGCAGGGGAAAGGACAGTTTTTCCATAAATGCTGTTGGGGAATCATAAAAGAAACAGAAATTCTTTCCATTTGAAAGAAATAGAAAATGAGAGGAATGAGAGCCCCTCACACAGAAAAATAAATACAAAATGCTGAATAACAAATTCGATTTTCTTCCTAGAACCATGCACAGGCCACAGATACCCGCAATAATTTTGCCCTTTTACAAACCTCATATTAAAAACTCCAGCTCCAAAAGCAAACATCAAAAAAACAAGCGACCAAAAAAACCCCGCCTCCAAATTCTAAGGGGTGGGGCCTCTAGTGACTTGGCTTCGAAGAGGGCGGAGCCTCCCTCAGGATTATATTTCAGGGGGCGGGGCCGGGGTGGCGCCTCCAAAGGCACAGCGTTCTAAGAAGGCGGGGCCATCAGGGACTGGCGGTAGATGTGGGTGCGACCTGGAGGAGACTGCTGATCTAAAATTTAAAACCGTATTTTCAGGTAAAACTGTTCGTGTCTAAGACTTCTCTAGGTCTGAATTCTTTTTTTTTTTTTTTTTTAGTTCTACCACTTTATTGCTACCAACCCATCTCCCTCCACCCTCGTGCACACATGCTCAGTCATGTAATCTCATGGACTTCAGCCAGCCAGGCTCCTCTGTCCATGGACTTTTCCAGGCAAGAATACTGGAGTGGGTTGCCATTTCCTTCTCCATAAATCTGAATTCTTTTTTTTTTTTTCATTTATTTTTATTAGTTGGAGGCTAATTACTTTACATCATTGCAGTGGTTTTTGTCATACATTGAAATGAATTAGCCATGGATTTACATGTATTCCCCATCCCAGTCCCCCCTCCCACCTCCCTCTCCACCCGATCCCTCTGGGTCTTCCCAGTGCACCAGGCCCGAGCACTTGTCTCATGCACCCAACCTGGGCTGGTGATCTGTTTCACCCTAGATAATATACATGTTTCGATGCTGTTCTCTTGAAACATCCCACCCTCGCCTTCTCCCAGAGTCCACAAGTCTGTTCTATACATCTGAGTCTCTTTTTCTGTTTTGCATATAGGGTTATCGTTACCATCTTTCTAAATTCCATATATATGTGTTAGTATACTGTAATGGTCTTTATCTTTCTGGCTTACTTCACTCTGTATAATGGGCTCCAGTTTCATCCATCTCATTAGAACTGATTCAAATGAATTCTTTTTAATGGCTGAGTAATATTCCATGGTGTATATGTACCACAGCTTCCTCATCCATTCGTCTGCTGATGGGCATCTAGGTTGCTTCCATGTCCTGGCTATTATAAACAGTGCTGCGATGAACATTGGGGTGCACGTGTCTCTTTCAGATCTGGTTTCCTCGGTGTGTATGCCCAGAAGTGGGATTGCTGGGTCATATGGCAGTTCTATTTCCAGCTTTTTAAGAAATCTCCACACTGTTTTCCATAGTGGCTGTACTAATTTGCATTCCCACCAACAGTGTAAGAGGGTTCCCTTTTCTCCACACCCTCTCCAGCATTTATTGCTTGTAGACTTTTGGATAGCAGCCATCCTGACTGGTGTGTAATGGTACCTCATTGTGGTTTTGATTTGCATTTCTCTGATAATGAGTGATGTTGAGCATCTTTTCATGTGTTTGTTAGCCATCTGTATGTCTTCCTTGGAGAAATGTCTGTTCAGTTCTTTGGCCCATTTTTTGATTGGGTCATTTATTTTTCTGGAGTTGAGCTGGAGGAGTTGCTTGTATATTTTTGAGATTAATCCTTTGTCTGTTGCTTCGTTTGCTATTATTTTCTCCCAATCTGAGGGCTGTCTTTTCACCTTGCTTATAGTTTCCTTTGTTGTGCAAAAGCTTTTAAGTTTCATTAGGTCCCATTTGTTTATTTTTGCTTTTATTTCTAAAATTCTGGGATGTGGGTCATAGAGGATCCTGCTGTGATTTATGTCAGTGAGTGTTTTGCCTATGTTCTCCTCTAGGAGTTTTATAGTTTCTGGTCTTACATTTAGATCTTTAATCCATCTTGAGTTTATTTTTGTGTATGGTGTTAGAAAGTGTTCTAGTTTCATTCTTTTACAGGTGGTTGACCAGTTTTCCCAGCACCACTTGTTAAAGAGGTTGTCTTTTTTCCATTGTATATCCTTGCCTCCTTTGTCAAAGATAAGGTGACCATAGGTTCGTGGATTTATCTCTGGGCTTTCTATTCTGTTCCATTGATCTATATTTCTGTCTTTGTGCCAGTACCAAACTGTCTTGATGACTGTGGCTTTGTAGTATAGTCTGAAGTCAGGCAGATTGATTCCTCCAGTTCCATTCTTCTTTCTCAAGATTACTTTGGCTATTCGAGGTTTTTTGTATTTCCATACAAATTGTGAAATTATTCGTTCTAGTTCTGTGAAAAATACCGTTGGTAGTTTGATAGGGATTGCATTGAATCTGTAGATTGCTTTGGGTAGTATAGCCATTTTGACAATATTGATTCTTCCAATCCATGAACACGGTATATTTCTCCATCTGTTTGTGTCCTCTTTGATTTCTTTCATCAGTGTTTTCATAAATCTGAATTCTTATCTGTCTAATCTGTCTAAGCAGATTCCCACCTGCTCTCTGCTCACCCAACGGCTTATTCCTTGGTCAGAGTGTCGTTCCCAGGTCTCTCAGCATCTCACCCCACTATGGCCAGAATCCTAGAATTTCAGAAGCATGAGACGTGAGCACAGACCAACAGCATCTGCAGAGATGACCGAGATGATAGCCCAGGCTTTGGAGGACACAGCCCTGCCTTCTTCGTCCTGTCTTTTCTAGTTTTGAGCCCTCTAAGTCCTTCCTCCATGAATAGGAATAATAAATGGCACTTGCCTTAAGGTTGCTTCAGGGATGAAATGAGCCTACACTCCTAAACCTAGGAGATGTCAGAATTATCGTAAACAGAGAGTTGTCAACAAATGTTTCTTTATCTTTCTTTCTTTTTGGCTGCACCACAGGGCTTGTGGGATCTTAGTTCTCTGACCAGGGAAGGAACTTGTGCCCCCTGCATTGGAAGAGTGGGATCTTAACCACTGGACCACAAGGGAAGTTCCCCCAAAATGTTTCTTAAACAAGTGAAAGAACATTTCAGCCAAATTTTAAGCCATCATCCAATGCTGTATCCAATACAGGAGATACCATCCAACGCAGGAGATGCAGGTTCAATCCAAGGGTTGGGAAGATCCCCTAGAGAAGGAAATGGCAACCCACTCCAGTACTCTTGCTGGGAAAATACCATGGACAGAGGGGCCTGGTGGGCTACAGTTCATAGGGTCACAAAGAGTCAGACATGACTGAACGACTGAACACAATGCTGGAAAGAAAATCATGGAATTAAATATTCTAAGGATAGTAGAATGTTCATGAGTCGTGGGTGGAAGACTTGTTAGCAGGTCTCAAGTTGCAAAAGAGGAAAGTGAGTCCAGGGGATAGAACGCACATTCAGTGTTGAAAAACTCCAGAAGGTAGCGGGTTTCATAGAAAATATACACGAAGCAGTTATTTTGCAGAAAGGAGGAAAGGATGGCAGAAGAAACCAGCCTCTGCCTCCATGTGGTGCTGGAGTCAGGTTTCTACAACGTTTTCTCTGCTTCAAACCCTCTGGTGATGCCCCAGTGGCCTCAGGAGAAAGCCCAAACCCCTTAGCCTGGCGTTCAAGGCCCTCTGTGACCGGTCCCACCACTACCGCTCTTTCTGCCACTCGCCCCTTCCCACTGGCTCACTCACCACCTCCTCCTCCATCTCCTGCTCGCCCTCGCCGCCGCCGCTCCGGCTGAACAGCGCCCTCTGCCTCTCGGCCATCTCGTAGGTGGGCTGCATCTCGGGGTCGTCCCGAAGCGTGTCCAACTTGGGGTGGAACCATTCCCACTGAGTGGTGCGGTTCAGCGACTCCAGGAGGAACAAGGGGTCCTCCGGCCTCTGGTTCAGGATCTTGGTCAGCAGGTTCACCAGGTGCTCATACCTGCCTCAGGGAGAGGGGAGTAGGAGGTGGGGGACATTGATCACTCAGTTTGCTGAGCTCGCTGTTGTGTATCTGGCCCTGTCCCTGGTGCTGGGGACACCGCAGATAAGAGAAAAGGTCCCTGCCCTGATGGACCTGACAGTCTGGTGATAGAGACAGATAGTAACCAAATGGGCAAAATATACAAACTATACGAAAGTGTGTAGTTATAGGGAGAAAAAGAAAGCAGGGAATGGGGATTGGAAATGCCAGGGATAGGAGATGGTTTGAGATAGGAGGAGTTTTAAATAGGGAGGCCAGGGAGAGCCTCACCGAGGTGACTTTTAAGCTGAGATCTGAATGATCTTATTCAGTGAGGGGGTGTACTGTGCAAATATTAGAAGGAAGAGTGTTTCAGTTGGAGGGAACAGCATACGCATAGGTCCTGAGACATTTCATGAGTCTAACATAATCTTGATACCAGAACTCAGGGAAAGTAGGAGAAAGGGAAAGTCCATGCTAATCTCATTTAGAACTATATATGCTGAAATCCTAAGCAAATTATTAGCAAGTGGTACCTAGCATTCTTAAAAGGATGTTGTTGTTACTGTTTAGTTGCTCAGTCCTGCCCAAATCTTTGCAACGCTACGGAAAGACTGTAGGGCTAGAGAAGAAAATGGCAACCCACTCCAGTATTCTTGCCTGGAAAAGTCCATGGACAGAGGAGCCTGGCAGGCTGCAGTCCATGGGGTTACATGACTGAGCATGTGTGCACGAGGGTGGAGGGAGATGGGTTGGTAGCAATAAAGTGTAGAACTTAAAAAAAAAAAAAATACTGTAGGGCAGCAGGCGCCTCTGTCCATGGACTTTTCCAGGCAAGAATACTGTGGGATTATTCAAATAGTTCCAGAAGTCCTAGCTACAGCAATCAGAGAAGAAAAGTAAATAAAAATAATCCACATTGGAAAAGAAGTAAAGCTCTCCCTGTTTGCAGATGACATGATACTGTACATAGAAAACCCTAAAGATAGTATCAGAAAATTACTAGAGCTAATCAGGGACTTCCCTGGTAGTTCAGTGGGTAAGACTCCATGCTCTCAATGCAAGGGGCCCCTGGTTCGATTCCTGGTCAGGGAACTAGATCCCACATACTAAGACCTGACCTAGCCTAAGGAAATTAAAAGAAAAGAAAAGAAAATTACTAGAGCTAATCAGTGAATTTAGCAAGGTTGCAGGATACTAAATCAATACACAGAAATCACTTGCATTCCTATATACTAACAACGAAAAATCAGAAAGAGAAATTAAGGAATCAATCACATTCACCACTGCAACAAAAAGAATTACATATCTAGGAATAAATTTGCCTAAGGAGACAAAAGAACTCTACACAGAAAATTATAAGACACTTTGGGCTTCCCTGGTGGCTCAGAGGTTAAAGCGTCTGCCTGCAATGTGGGAGACCTGGGTTTGATCCCTGGTTTGGGAAGATCCCCTGGAGAAGGAAATGGCAACCCACTCCAGTATTCTTGCCTGGAAAATCCCATGGACAGAGGAGCCTGGTGGGCTACAGTCCATGGGGTCCCAAAGAGTCGGATACGACTGAGCGACTTCACTTCACTTCAATAAAGAAAGGCAATGCCAAAGACTGCTCAAACTACCGCACAATTGCACTCTTCTCACACGCTAGTAAAGTAATGCTCAAAATTCTCCAAGCCAGGCTTCAACAATATGTGAACCGTGAACTTTCAGATGTTCAAGCTGGTTTTAGAAAAGGCAGAGGAACCAGAGATCAAATTGCCAACATCTGTTGGATCATTGAAGAAACAAGAGAGTTCCAGAAAAACATCTATTTTTACTTTATTGATTATGCCAAAGCCTTTGATTGTGTGGATCATCACAAACTGTGGAAAATTCTTCAAGAGATGGGAATACCAGACCACCTGACCTGCCTCTTGATAAATCTGTATGCAGGTCAGGAAGCAACAGTTAGAACTGGACATGGAACAACAGACTGGTTCCAAATAGGGAAAGGAGTACATCAAGGCTGTATATTGTCACCCTGCTTATTTAACTTACATCATTAGTAATGCTGGGCTGGATGAAACACAAGCTGGAATCAAGATTGCCGGGAGAAATATCAATAACCTCAGATATGCAGATGACACCACCTTTATGGCAGAAAGCAAAGAAGAACTAAAAAGCCTCTTGATGAAAGTGAAAGAGAAAAATAAAAAAATTTTTAAAAAAGAAAGTGAAAGAGGAGGGTGGAAAAATTGGCTTAAAGCTCAACATTCAGAAAACTAAGATCATGGCATCTGGTCCCATCACTTCATGGCAAATAGATGGAGAAACAGTGGAAACAGTGACAGACTTTATTTTTCTGGGCTCCAAACTCACTGCAGATGGTGACTGCAGCCATGAAATTAGAAGACACTTCCTCCTTGGAAGAAAAGTTATGGCCAACCTAGACAGCATATTAAAAAGCAGAGACATTATTTTGCCAACAAAAGTCGGTCTAGTCAAGGATATGGTTTTTCCAGTAGTCATGTATGGATGTGAGAGTTGGACTATAAAGAAAGCTGAGCACTGAAGAATTGATGCTTTTGAGCTGTGGTGTTGGAGAAGACTCTTGAGAATCCCTTAGACTTCAAGGAGATCCAACCAGTTCATCCTAAAGGAAATCAGTCCTGAATATTCATTGGAAGGACTGATGTTGAAGCTGAAACTCCAATACTTTGGCCACCTGATGCAAAGAACTGACTCACTGGAAGAGACCCTGATGCTGGGAAAGATGGAAGGTGGGAGGAGAAGGGGACAACAGAGGATGAGGTGGTTGGATGGCATCACTGATGCAATGGACATGAGTTTGAGTAAACTCTGGGAGTTGGTGATGGACAGGGAGGCCTGGTATGCTGCAGCCCATGGGGTCGCAAAGAGTCGGACATGGCTGAGCAACTGAACTAAACTGAACTGAATGAAAGAAATCAAAGATGATATAAAACAGAGGGATAGATATTCCACATTCCTGGGTAGGAAGAATCAATATTGTGAAGATGACTGTACTACCAAATGCAATCTATAGAGTCAATGCAATCCCTATCAAATTACCAAAGGCATATTTCATAGAACTAGAACAAAAAATTTCACAATTCATATGGAAACACAAAAGACCCTGAATAGCCAAAGCAGTCCTGAGAAAGAAGAATGGAGCTGGAGGAATCAACCTTCCTGACTTCAGATTATACTACAAAGCTACAGTCATCAAGACAGTATGGTACTGGCACAAAGACAGAAACACAGACCAATCAAGCAAGACAGAAAGCCCAGAAATAAACCCATAATGGGTACCTTATTTTTGACAAAGGAGGCAAGACTATATAATGGGGCAAAGACAGCCTCTTCAATAAATGGTGCTGGTAAAACTGGACAGCTACATGTAAAAGAATGAAATGAGAACACTTCTTAACACTATACACAAAGATAAACTCAAAATGGATTAAAGACCTAAATTTAAGACCAGAAACTATAAAACTCTTAGAGGAAAACATAGGCAGAACACTCGATGACATAAATCAAAGCAAGATCCTCTAGGACCCACCTCCTAGAGTAATGGAAATAAAAACAAAAGTAAACAAATGGGACCTGATTAAACTTAAAAATTTTTGCACAGCAAAGGAAACTATAAGCAAGGTGAAAAGGCAACACTCAGAATGGGAGAGAATAATAGCAAAAGAAACAACTGACAAAGGATTAATTTCCAAAATATACAAGCAGTTCATACAATTCAATGCCAGAAAAACAAACAACCCAATCAAAAAGAGGGGATAAGACTTAAACAGACATTTCTCCAAAGAGGACATACAGATGGCTAACAAACACATGAAAATATGCTTAATATTGCTCATTATTAGAGAAATGCAAATCAAAACTACAATGAGATATCACCTCATACTGGTCAGAATGGCCATCATCAAAAAGTCTACAAACAATAAATGCTGGAGCAGATGTGGAAAAAAGGGAACACTCTTGCACTATTGATGTGAATGTAAATTGATACAGCCACTAAGACGGTATGGAGATTCCTTAAAAAACTAGGAATAAAACCCCATATGACCCAGCAATCCCACTCCTAGGCATATACCCTTAGGAAACTAAAATTGAAAAAGACACATGTATCCCATTGTTCACTGTTGCACTATTTACAATAGCTAGAACATGGAAACAACCTAGATTTCTATCAACAGATGAATGGATAAAGAAATTGTGTTACATATACATAATGGAATATTACTCAGCCATTAAGAAGGAATGCATTTGAGTCAGTTCTGATGAGGTGGATGAACCTAGAATCTATTATATAGAGTGAAGTGAGTCAGAAAGAGAATGATAAATATCATATTCTAATGCATATATACAGAATCTAGAAAAATGGTACTGAAGAATTTATTTATAGGAGAGCAATGAAGAAACAGACACAGAGAATAGGAGAATAGGCTTATGGACATGGGGGGAGGGGAGGAGAGGAGAAGCTGATGAGATGTATGGAAAAAGTAACATGGAAACTTACATTACCACTTGTAAAATAGATAGCCAACGGGAATTTGCTGTATGGCTCAGAAAACTCAAACAGGTGCTCTGTATCAAACTAGAGGGGTGGGATGGGGCGGGAGACAGGAGACGGGAGGGAGGTTCAAAAGGGAGGGGATGTATGTACACCTATGGCTGATTCATGTTGAGGTTTGACAGAAAACAACAAAAGTCTGTAAAGCAATTATCTTTCAATAAAAAAAAAAAAGAATACTGTGGATTGCCATTTCCTTCTCCAAGCGGATCTTCCCAACACAGGGATGCAACCTGCATCTCCTACATTTGCAGGCAGATTCTTTACTATTGAGCCATGGAAGCCCCTAAAAGGTGACACACCATGATTAAATTGGGCTAACAAGAATGCTAGACTGGACTGATATTAGAAAAATAAGGAAAAAAAATTAATTCACCACATTAACATGTTAAAAGAG